GAGTGAGGGTTATTCAAAAGAGGGGTAAGGGGCAAAATTGGAATAAGATAGTCCCATGCGATGTTTGGAGGATGGAATCTTCTGGATTTGCATGGAAATTGGACGTACACACGGCCCTCGGTTTAGGCCTTTAGCAGATTATTTCACAAACTATTTCCAGGTGATTATTAACAATTAATTATCTCCTTTTTTTTATAAGGTATTTTTTTAATTTTATTATTATTTTTTATTTAATCAATTGCTGGGCAGGGGCAGCCCCTCAATTGTTTTTTAAATAATATTATTATTAATAATTAAAATAACATAATAAAATTGTTTTTTAATTTATAACATTTTAAATGTGTTGATTGATCAAAATGAAAATAATATCGCCCGATAAAGACTTACACTGTCCGAAAGTAAATTAAAAATACAATAAATTAATTACTATAATAATATTCTAAATAGAATTTTCAAATTCTTATATATTTAAAGTAATTATCGGAATAATATAATTAAGAATGTATTTACTTACTTAAAGGCTGAGACTTCAAAAAAAAAAAAAAAAAAACCTTTAGAGGGTGTTTGGTTAAGGAATTATATGCTATTTTTATATTTTTATAATATAAGAAAATCTCAATTATGTTAACAAAAATAATAATTTTAATTACAAAACAAAGTACCAAAATTAGCATCTTAAGACTTAACAGTAGTCAAAATATTTAAACAACTCAACTTTCGAATAAGATATATATAACATCTTATAAAATCGATTAAATTATAAAGATTTGCTTAACACTTATCGGTTAAGTTGAATCAACTTATAACACTTTCTAAAAAAAATTAGATTAGCCAAACATTTCCTATTAGGGTCATTTACGTCGGTAATTAAATTAACATCACTAGATATATAATATATAAATGAATATATCAATTATTTATGTAATATCTCCACAAATTTCATTAATCAATTATCCTTCTAAAAATGCAAAACCCCGTATATATTTTTTTTTATGAAACCTTAATGGTGCTTATTTTGCACTATTTCGGTATATTTATTCGTAAACAATAAACATATATAATCATAAAGAATTGAACATTTAATATATATATATATATATATATATATATATTGTAATAATAATAAAAATAAAAATAAATTTGTCGTTTTATATATTATAAGCTATTTACAAATTACACAATATAAAACTCAAGGAGTTTTCCTTGCCTAACCCCACCACGTAGATAGTTTCTTCAAAATAATAATAATAATAATAACTTGAGGAAATTTGTCTCAAGAGTCTTATTAAGAATATTTAAATTTTATCTGAGTAGTGATAGATTATTTAACTTTTTTTATATTATTATAATATTATTTAATTTTGTTTATTTTTTTTTAATATCCTTTGAGATATTTATCCTTAAAATTTCATAGGATTTTCTTATAATTTACTTACTATTGGGGAAAACAGCATTTTATTATTTTCCATCCGAACACATTTTCATCTTTCCAAAATTTTCTAAAAAATATTAATTCATACATACATACATATTTAAATCTTACTTTAACCTTTGTATAATAATTTAAATCTTCACTTACCTTCGTTGTACAATTTAAAACTTTTTTATTTACCCCTCTACAGTTGTGCTGATAATAACTTTCAATTGCCCCATAAATTATATTTTTTTTGTGTGCTAATTATATCCTCTTTTTTTTTTTTAATAAAAGTTTACTGTCATCTCCGTTTGTTAATAACCTTTTTTTTTTTTTTTTTTACTTTCAATTGATTTTAAAGTTATTATTTTCAATGTAAAATTTAAAAATATGCCCATTTCTTTAAAACTATTTCTCATTTTATATTATTTTGCTCATTTTTGGGATAATCATGTTTTCATCTTAATTGGTATTTTATAAAGATTAATAGGACATAAAATATATGTTGTCCAGAAAAAAAAAAAAAAATGCATATTAATTATGTTAAATTTTTACATATAATTGATTTTAGAATCTCACTGATTAATTTCAAATATATAAATTTTCAAATTCACCATTTCATTTGTACATTTTCATTTTTTTCAAGCTCTTGTCTGATGATAAGAGACAATAATTAGCCAAACCTATACTCCCACATAATTAGTCCAGCTAAATTTCGGATTTCACCCAATATCTCGATCGCCCAATTCTCGATCGTCCAATTTTTCGCATCAATCTTAATCATTGAATTAGCATAAAATCTGATACCAACCCCATTTTAAACGTTTCTCAAAAAAAAAAAAAACCCCATTTTAAATGGAAATTAACGTACATTTCGTTGTGCAGCCTGTTCATATCGTCAATGACTTGTTTAATATTTTTAACTTGTAACACATATATAGTTATATAACTCTTATAAGTTTTTCGTACGCAGGCAATGTGAAACGACGTGCTTTGCAACAGCAAATCGCTAAATGAGCCAATATTTCGCAGCTGAAATTTGTGGGTTTGGTTAATAAAACTTAATGTAATAGAATGTTGAATAATTTAAAAAGAAACATGTCTAGTTTGGAGAATATTAATGTGATTAACAAGGTACAAACGAGTTTGTTCTAATGCTACACCTGATGAACTTGGACGGATTATATTTTACTATACACGATTTGACACACATTAACTAGTAAATGTGCGCGATTGTGTGTAATTTAAACGTGAAAAACCGTCCGATATATTTCAACAGGTGTAGCATGCATGTACAAAATTGTATAGAGGGATTATGTATCCTAATTCCTAATTAATCCGAGTTAAATTGTAACCAAGTAGTAGTTTGCTTCTCATTTGTGACACCATTTTCTACTTCTATAGTCAATTTATAGCTAGTTCAAAAAATAAATACAAATCCAGGAGTAATTTTGTTCAAATAAAAAAACTCCGAATTGCAAACTCAACTCACCAGTTCCCCTCGGACTATAGGCACATTAATTCGTCACATATAAGTTACAGTCCAACACTAACAATAACTTAATTTTGCCACAGCTGTGTAAAAGGCTTCCCTTCTTGACATTTCAGCACGCATTCCATAACAATTTGTTTCAATTGTTCCTCGACATCTTCCATTGAACGGGTTGCATCTACTATCTACAACAACGAACACGAAAAAAGCAAAATCATCAGGCCATGTTATGCGGTCCAGCAAATATTGATTTTGAAGCTACTTATTCAGACATAGGTCCAACTTTACAAAGAATGTGAGTGATGGCGTAAGCATTCTTGACCTAATTACTCGAGTTACCGAATTGTGTTTTGTACCAAAGAATTATCCTAATTTCACATGTTCAAATAAAAATAAACACGTGTGATGAAAATAAACGGGAAAACGAACAGTCTAAGCTCACTACCTTCCATGTGGCATCATAAAGAGTCCTATATGATTGAGCAACTCTTTGTTGAAACTCGAGCTTCTCATACCTCTCATCTCCGTAACCTCCTCTTTCAGCAGCTTTCTGTAATTTCAGAACATAAGTTGGTACTTGGTAATATTTCAATTTGGAACAAAATATCTACACTTGAAACAATTGCAACATGCACAAAGAAAATTACGTATACTATATGAAGTTTGATAATTCTGCATAATATAAGTCATACGATTCTGTCATGAAAAAAAGGGTGCATAAAACATAATATACCTCTGGCGATATGTCAAGGTACAGAACTAGATCTGGAGCTAGCAATCCAGCTTCTGGAGCCTGCAAAAACGAGACAGATATAAGCTGAATCGTAATGGGGTCCGCACCAAACAAAGTCCGGTACTAATTTGGACAACCATAAAAACAAATATTTCACAATATCTTTACCTTGCACCACTCGACATCAAGTCCTTTGGCAGATGAGAAAGCAACCCCGGAAAAAGCATAGCGATCAATAATGAGTGTGGTCCCACTTCTCAGCTTAGACTCCATCAATGATCTAAATGCAGTCAGTTCCAGTAAATATGTTTAAACTTTAATTTCGTATTGACCGGATACGTGAATTCTTTAGAATAAACATGACCCCGAAGTAAATTGTGAAAGAATGTCACGAGTGAATTTAAGTTAAGATACAAAATGATGCCATGTTCTGCTTAATTCAAAATAAACAATCATCTGTGGGCCAAAAAACAGTTTAGAATAACGGAGGCGTTAATACAAAAGAAAGAAAGTTTCTCCATATTCACCAAGAAGCAAATTCTTTGTCTAGTCGATTCATATGTTAGGGGTTTGCAGAAATAAAAACACTTCAAGTTTTCTAAGGCAGCTCGTTCGTACAAATCCCATGCATTAATATAAGATTAACTCCATTGCAGCCCATCACTGAAGTCATTGAATACCCAAAATTTCGAAATTTTACCACCAATAGAACATGATGTCTATATATAACATAAGAAAGAAGTCGCAAACCTCTTTTCCCAACGATTTGCACTGAAGAGCAGATGAATAGCATGATCGTCCAAATGTGATTCGTTCATTAGGTAGGAAGAAATCATTTGTCCGACACCTGTGTTTCTATCAGGGAATCTCCATGATTCAACTGCATGTCCCGACCCTTCTAGGTAAGAAATCAATTTGCTGCACTGAGAAGTTTTTCCACAACGGTCCAAACCTTCTAACACAATTAAGGCACCCCTTGAATCACTTTTTTTGCTACTTTCCATGTGAACTTGTCTTAACGAGCACTTGGACTGGAAAGCCAAATTGCAGCGAGAACTTAGTGATTGTCGTACCACTCCTGTTGCTAAATTTCTGAACAAAAATACACACGCATTAAATATTCACTCCCTAATGTATTTCAAAAGAAGCAGACTTCAAGCAGACTTCAAATATCGATGAAGAAATGCAAATTCCATAGCATCCATGACGCGGAACGGAGGCGTATGGATAATTAATTTCTACGAATTAATTCTATGGAACCAACAAACATTTGGAATCCACCGAGAGAGAAAGAAAATTCTCTAAAAAATTATTAACTTTGAAATTATATGAATCCCTAGCTATTACAAATGTACTTATAATGCTGAAAAGTAACAAAGTCATAGTAAAATTAAAAAGCTAAATAAACTAGGAAAATATGAAAAACGGCAAGAAGAGTTAAGCCCTAATTCTAAATTCTAATAGATCTCATAATTTTCGGAACAACCCAATTTACGGAATCCTAATCTTATTTTCCTATGAATTGATATAAATTTTCTAAAACTTCTCTAGAACGGCAAAAACGGACTTCTAATAGTCTAATCAGTGTTGGATGACAAAAATATGATGTGATTCATGAGCATTTGCTCATGAGTTTTGTTCCTTGGGCCATTTCGCTTGAGAAAGAGTTCGTTTCAGACTCCATTTTACGTCCCTCATCAATACATTTGGTACAATTTTTTTTATTTCAAACACTTCATTTTTCTCTAAATCAGATTCCTATACATTTCAATGGGGAAACAGGGAAATTTTATCATTCTTTTTAAGAAACTTCGCGTTGATACTATGGATCAAAATCTACAAGTTACAAACCAACACAAAACCTACAAAAACATATTCATTCGTGCATTTTATCAAACAGCTAGTGAGCACGTCACTTATTACGCCGACCACTGTTGATTCTACCCCATATACAAAGAAATCAAACAAATATCACAGTAGGAAAAGTAAGGATCTTGCGGAATTTGACTTACAAAGCCTTAAAAAGTGTGAAACGGCAAGCATTTGTCATGTGATATCGTTCAGACCTACATATAATCCCAAACCCATTTATAAAACTTGCCGAATTCAATATACAAAAAAAGCAATAATCGAAATCTATAATTAAAAATTGCACGAATCGAATCAGGAAAAACGAGATCTTTGGATAAAAGGAAACAATTACCCGTTCAAGAAGCCGTGTCTGTGTTCATTTGCTCAAATAAGTTAACTGAAAAGAGGAAAATTTAGAAAATGTGAAGAATTGAAAAGAAAAAGAATTGGCGGCAGGAGTTCTGGTTTGGTGGCTTATATACTTCACTATTTCTTACACATTTGACTAAATTAATTTTGCAATTTATTCATCAGATATTTAGGCCCAAATGAAGTGCAGAAAAATTAGTAAAAGCCCAAATATATCTTTATATAATCGCCCAAGTTCATGTTATTTCACATGGGTCAGGTCCAAGTCCAGGTCTTCAACTGTGTGTATGTATGTATTTATATATGTTATGTGTGTGTGTGTGTGTGTGTGTGTGTGTTTTTATCTTTGAGTTTCCTCAATTTATCTACCACAAAAACTTTCTGCATAAATGTTCGAAACCAACATTTAATTGATAGTAACTAATTGTACGAATTGAAGCTTCAACAAAGCACGAAATATCCAAAAAAAACAGTCCAAGCGAAATGTTCAAAACGAAACACTAATTCCCTATTTAAAAAGCTCCAACTTAATTCTTGGCTTTGAGAGAATTATTCTCCTTGATCCTTGCTCGGTTATCCAGCTTCACAAACCGTTTCAGATCGTCATACGGAAGGGTTTTTATGTCTTTTCTCTTCAACTCACTGAGAGGCGGCTTTTTATCAAGCAAATGCCACAACCAATCCGGGTACTCAGAATCGGGCAAGATTTTAGGGTCTTGCCCATCTTTTAGAATATTCGCACCAAAAACGGTAGTCGATTTCACTTCGTTGCTCAGCAGGGATGCTTTTGGAGCATCTGAGGCGGCACCACCTTTAGAGCCTTTCTTTTTAGCACCGGCAGCAAATGTTCTCCGGCCCACCACCCCAACAACCTCCTTCACTGAGAAGGCACCTCTCAATGATCTGACGAGAGCAATTGGCATGTCTTTATAGCTGCTGCACTGATAATAAAATGTTATTTACAAGTTAAAACATGGAAATCTCAACATAGTTACATTTTTATCATACGGTTCTTATTAGTTCCCAATCGACAAAACGAAATAAAGTACTACTACTCCTTAACGGCATGATGCATATCAGCAACCATATAACTAGCAAATACGGAACATCTAGCTTTATCAACTTCTTTACTCCTAGCACTCTCTTAGTACACTCGTCTACATTTTTCGATACATATTTTTGACACTCGCAACTAAAATTTTTATAACCTCGCGACTCATCGATCTCTTTTGACATCGACAAAATCCCATTTCATTCAGAAAGCAGAGAGCGATCGTGAAAAACAAGCTATCACAGCAAACTCTTAGAATCGCAAATTCTCTAACCAATAATAGCTAAAGGATATCATAGTTAACTATAGCCGTAACGCTATTTGCTCTCGAACTGGCTAATCGAGAGTAATTAATTCCTCTAGATAACAAAGATTATCTTTCTATGATTTAGAATCTAAGAATTCAATGAACAAATTCCCCAATAATCGAGTGTGGAAAGAAAACCGACAAACAACTCGCAATTTGTAATCTCCAACAATTACAACAAGGATAAGTGCAGGGGTCACTAGGAAAACCATTCTCTCAAGTAGGATTTTGAATTAACAAGGCATTATCAAATCAGAAATAAATCAAATCCGCCGGCAAATTCGTAGTTTCAAAACAAAATTAGGGCTTCCAGAACAAATCCCACAGCACAAGACGCAATATTGCACAAATATAAAATCATATAACGGCCTCTCAAACAGAGTTTTCATAACTTGAACATCAATCAGATCGTGCAGGAAAAAAAAAATTAATTAAAAAAAAAAAAATTGAAGATCCTTCGCAAAATTGAGAAACTGGAATTCGAGCAAAAAATAAATGAATTTAATTCCGATTAATACCTGTGTTTGTTGCTTTAAGCAGAAGCTGGTTTAGGGGAGGTTCTTCTCCGAGCTAGGTAATGGCTTCAGTGTAAGCATTTCTAATTCTAATTCCACGTTTTTTAGTACAGTAGAGCAGAAGTAAATGGGCCGTTAAAGTAAACGGGCCGCCGTTAAGAAAAAGCCCAATTAATATTTAATAGACCGAACCCAAATCCTAACGGATTGATCTGTAGCAGGGGGTTAAGTTAGGGTTTAACACGCGCACTTTCTCTCACTAGAGTTTCTTGAGGAAAACTCCACTACCTTTCTACAAAACCCTCATTTCTCTCTCTAGATCAGGCAATCGCCATTTCACTGGAAAACTTGAATCAATTCGAAATACTACAGAATGGGTAGCCAAGCCGCCGCGTCATTTCTGACGAACATCGCACGCGCCGCCTTCAGTCTCGGCATCGGCGCCACCGTCGTGAACTCCTCTCTCTACACAGTCGACGGCGGCCAGCGCGCCGTTCTCTTCGACCGTTTCCGTGGAGTCATCGAAGAGACCGTCGGTGAAGGGACTCACTTCCTAGTGCCATGGCTCCAAAAGCCCTTCGTCTTCGATATCCGCACTCGCCCCCACACCTTCTCTTCCGTCTCAGGTAGCAAACATTTCTGCATTTCTGAAATTATAATTCGAGAAAACAATTCGGAATCTAATTTTTTTTTCTCGGATGATTAGGTACGAAAGATCTGCAGATGGTGAATCTAACTCTGCGTGTGCTCTCACGCCCCGAAGTCAGTCGCCTACCCGACATCTTCAAAACCCTAGGTCTGGAATACGACGAGAAAGTCCTCCCCTCAATCGGCAATGAAGTTCTTAAAGCAGTGGTTGCTCAATTCAACGCCGATCAATTGCTGACCGAGCGTCCACACGTTTCTGCCCTAGTGCGCGAGAGCTTGATCCGCAGGGCGAAGGATTTCAACATCGTGCTTGATGATGTGGCGATCACTCATTTGTCGTATGGAGCCGAGTTCTCGAAGGCTGTTGAGCAAAAGCAGGTGGCTCAGCAGGAGGCAGAGAGGTCTAAGTTTGTTGTGGCTAAAGCTGAACAGGAGAGAAGGGCTGCCATTATTAGGGCTGAAGGAGAGAGTGAGTCTGCGAAGCTGATTTCTGATGCAACTGCAGCTGCTGGAATGAGTTTGATTGAACTGAGGAAGATTGAGGCTGCCAAGGAGAATGTGTTGACCATGTGCAAGAATGGGAATATTAGCTATCTACCTGGTGGCGCGAACAACAACATGCTTCTCGGTCTCAATGCTGCTCGTTGATTACGAGGTAGTATTCTTAATAGTTTGTATTGATATTGTTTGATTTCTCATATTGTTTTTCTTTTGTCGGTTGCTTGAATGATATATCATATGTGGTATTTGTTGAAGATGTTTCTTGTTCTTGTACCTTTTAATTTTTTTTGGATCTGTTAGATTTTTTGTATCTGTGCGACGATAGGGCATTACTTGAAGAACTTCTAAGTTAATCCTTTGTGTAGAGAGATATGAGCAGATATATGTACTCAATGATTCAAAACATTACTAACATATATTTACACATAAGATCTTAATATGCTTAGTGCTCAATACCTATTTTAGAGATTAAATGGGAAGAGGAATTGGATTTACTGTATTTGTTTAATCTATTAGGTGGTGTTTGTCCTTTGGAAGGATAGAGTATAACTTGAACTTTTAGGTTAATCCTTCCTCTAGAAAACACGAAAACTTTTGTACTGCATTTTCATCAAAAAAGGACAATGGTACAATGGTATAAGAATTGTTGGTTTTTGAATAATTTTTTAATTACGTAAACATATGGTAATACAACACATCTAAGATCTTAACATGTTTAGTACTTGTTTGGTTTCCTGTTGAGATAGCTTTATTGGACACGATAGTGTTAATTTGATAGGGCTAAGTTCCACTGCATAAATTTATTCTCGTTGAAATGGTTTCTAAATATCGGAGTCGTTTTTGGTTAGGCCAAATGCGGTAGAAACCCATTGGCCTTATTAGTTAATCAAGGGCAGTTAAGCCAATTGGCATTTGATAGTTTGGTAGAAACCCGTGATTGTTTACTCGATAATTGATCAAACCAAGAGTTTTGATATGGTATCTACTATAATAGTGCTTCCTATGTTACCAAGGCAAATATAACCATCTATTTGGTAACATATTTGAAAAATAGATAAATATCATAACTTCTGAATTCTTATAGCCGGTCTACTTGTGATTAATGATACACATATCTATGTAATCACATCCTCCTTTCAAATGTTACAATATAGAATTGGGGGATTGCCTGAAGAAGCTTATTAGTTGATATTGCTTCATATTTCGGCAATAACCACTAGTTTTATGTTTGATTTTGCCAGTCTTTGAGGTGTGTTGGTTTTTCTTTGCTTTATTTCTTGGCATAATAAGTGGTATAATGTTATTTTTTGCCGCAATTTATGTTTAAGTATCACCGTAATAATTGCCATCACTACAATTGTATAAATTATTTTTGTCCATATTAGCATTCAAATAAGATTTTTTATCCCATGGTTTAGGTCTAAATATGAAATGATGTTAGATTCTTTTCTCGTGTTCTATCACTTTGTTGTGCATGTTATGTTTTCTTCTCTCACAAGAGAGAAAGTTGTTGTATGAGGAACTGTGATCGATCTAATTTACTTCTCTTGTGTTGTTGTTGTAGGGCTTTGAGATGACAGGATTCCTGGTCGGCTTTTTGGCTGTTAGCGGTCTTTTATTTTCTGGAATATTTGAATCTTTACTATTTTGCTACCCTTCGATCAGTTGTATGGATATCTAGCAGAAACTAATGATTGAAGCCTCTACCCTTTTTTTTATTGATGTGGAAGATCTATTTACGTTCTCTTGTTTAGGTTCTCGAGAAATTATAATAATTTTGATGCCTATGTTTCTTGTTTCTTGAATGTGGCAAATCCCCCTAAACATTGTTGATTGGTTTGCAATGCCCCGGTGTCAACGGTTCTCTTTTTGTGAACATCCTCATATTTTGACTTAATTGTATGGTTATATTTTTAGATTGTAACTGGATTGTGTTCTACTATTGATTAGTAGCTAAATGAGTTCAGATGTTTATCGTCTTTCTGTGCAGTAAAAGTTCCCTTGATCAAATGAAAATTTATAATTGGAAAAATTTCTCCGTTTGTCCCATTTTTCTGACCTTGAGGAACACTTGTTTAAACTCTTGGATACGGATTACGTTAATAACATATTTTTTAATTTAACAACATTGTTCGAATTAACATTGGTTGTTAAGATATAATGGTTTCTAACAACTTTTTAAAAATTTGTGAGTGAAGTGAAAAAGCATTTCTTTTTTCAGAAATGTACAAAATTTGAATTAGAAAGAATTGAGACAAATAATTTGAAGCCAAGTATTTTTGGTTGCTTACAAAATGAAACCTCTGAATTTAAGGAGTATTTTTTATGTATATTTTAAATAATTTCACATGAATTTTTAAAAGGTAAAACATTGGGATTTAAAATGCACACATCCAAATCATTAAATCACATGGAAACCTTTCCTCAACTACTGGTAAATGATATGTGCTGAGAAACATAATTTTATTAAACAGAAGAAAATGAAAACACAAAACCAGAGATATAAACTCTGTTCTACATCATTACCGAATAAAATTCTCGCACAAAAGAAAAGAAAGAAAAACTAAGTCCGCAGAAGTTCATCAGCTCATTTATTCCAAAACTACCTCAACGAGGATAATCAACAAGTGAAAGAAGTAAATTTCTTTCAAGCAGAAGCAGCAGCTTATGCAACAGATGCCATGTGTCGGATCAAGTCAATCACACGGTTACTGCAATAAACAGAATTATATATTAGTTAGTATCGCGGCTTTATATATTTGCAGTTGAGAGCAGAAACAATATTTATCTTCAACTATGCAGTAAACAAAGTCTTACCTGTAACCCCATTCGTTATCGTACCACGAGACAACCTTAACAAAGTTGCCATTAAGAGCAATTCCAGCCTTGGCATCGAATATGCTTGACCTGAGAAAAAATAGACGGATGAAAAGAGTGAAGATCACATATTTTCAAGAAAATTATGATAAACTTTTCAAGAGTCTAGAAATGGATGGGGCACTGCATAGAAAACAATATGTACGATAGATTGTATTTGTATTGCATAAAAAAGTATAATGAAAATTTTCAAGAAACGAGAAACGGGAGGGGCAGTAAAGAGAAGATATACGATATACGACTAATTGTACTAGATAAAAGATAAAGGTACCTGCAATCACCGACAAAGTCAGTTGATACAACATCATCTTCAGTGTATCCTAGGATTCCCTTCATGCTAGTCTCGGACTCCTCCCTACAGCAGACAAGAGACTCAGAACATATGACAAGGCTGCCTTCAAAAGACACAAGAATGTCGAAAAAAGGCAATAATTCTTACTTGATAGCAGCTTTAATTTCATCATAAGAAGCTGCCTTTGAAAGCCTGACAGTTAGGTCGACCACTGAAACATCAGCAGTTGGAACACGGAAAGCCATACCAGTAAGCTTTCCGTTTAGTGCGGGAAGTACCTTTCCAACAGCCTGTAGAAAAAAAATGTACCATTCTTAGACTAGAATGACACTATAAATTAATGGTCCTACGCTATTGCGTAATCATACGACGGTGCATACAAAAAGAATAAAAACAGTCACCATGTAACTAAATACTTATTCAACAGTACCTATAAACAATCACTAAAAGCCCGTTTCTTGTTAGAGATTGCTAAATAAGTATGTAGTCATCAAGGAAAAAATTGAGAAGTTGAAAATATATTTTTTGGAAATGAAGTTTGTAAGATGTAAAATGACATTAACGGTACCTTTGCAGCTCCAGTGCTGCTGGGAATGATATTGAATGAAGCAGCTCTTCCACCTCTCCAGTCCTTCATCGACGGACCATCAACAGTCTTCTGTGTTGCTGAATTTCATTTCAAAATAAAATAAAATAAAATAATCAGCTCAGTTATCCTATCACACACATGTTTAATTAATAGTAAATTGACAAGATTTACCTGTCATGGCATGGACAGTGGTCATCAAACCCTCAACGATACCGAACCTGTCATTGAGAACCTGCAATATTGTAGACAATTAGATTAATATTATTCAATCGAAGTAACTTAATGCTTGCCCAGCGAACACGTAGTACAGTACGTACCTTAGCCAATGGGGCAAGACAGTTGGTAGTGCAACTAGCATTTGAAACAATGTCAAGGTCTTTCTTGTACTCCTTCTCGTTGACACCCACAACGAACATAGGGGCATCCGCACTTGGGGCAGAAATTACAACCTTTTTCGCCCCTCCCTGTGACCAAATAAGAGTATTCCAAGAATCAGACAACATGAATTATGAGACACTTAAAGATAAGCAGAAAATTGGGATATATAATATTGATTTCAGACAGATATTTAAGGAATTCATTAAATGAAAACCTTAATGTGTGCAGAAGCCTTAGCCTTGTCAGTGAAAACCCCTGTGGACTCCACAACAAACTCAGCACCAGCCTCGCCCCATGGGATCTCCTCTGGGTTCCTATTCATCGGAGAGGAAAATGTATAAAATGACAAGAAATATAAACTAATCAAACACATCAAGTTGACAAAAGAGTATAATTATTAATAATTATTAATAATTATTACCTCACACCAAATACAGCCACAGGCTTCTCACCGAAGAGAAGGGTCTTTGAATCCTTAACCGTAAGCTCGTTATGTTTCCACTGACCGTGAACACTGTCGTATTTGAACATGTATGTCTGTACAACAGAGAATAGTAATTGAGATTGCGATTAAATTAGATAATAACAAATAGTATTTGACAACAGTTCAAAGAACATTATTCAAGAATCACATATGAAATATTGGACCGGCATGCAAATACTTGCATTAGTGAAGGAAAAAATGTGCTGAGAATGAAATACGCTAAGTGGCAAAGCTTCAAACGCTACAGAAAATACAGAAAATAGAAGTACAGAGCATAATCAACAATTTGTAAGATGATAAATATTTGTTTCCAACTATATTTTTTAGTGTGAAATTTGATGTAGTAAAACATGCTAATTGTCTGAGATTTAAGTCCAAAAAAGGTTTTAAAACCAATCAAGGCTTACAGGATTCAATACGTTTGACAGATCAATCCAGTATACATCAACATAATCCGAAACAAATTTTGTAAAAAAATACAGATCTATTTGTTAAATCAGAGAAAAAAAGGTAACGAGAAACAAATTCACACAAAATTGTGGTTTCACTCAGAACAGTCGTATAAATAGAGATCCATATATCCACAAACACACACACACACACACAAATCCATAGAGAGAGAGTACCATGTAATCGGTGGTAATAAATGGGTCGTTGACGGCGACGAGTTCAATATCATCACTCTGCAGCGCAACTCTAGCAACCAAACGCCCGATCCTTCCAAATCCTGCACGAAAAAGGTAGATCAATGCGTTCAGAACTTCAAAAAAAAAAAAATTGGATCCGAATTACAATTACAAATTGACGACAATTTTCACAAAAACAATAAAATTACCATTGATTCCGATCTTGATTTTGGCCATGGTGATGAATGTAGTAGAGATCTAGAAAAATGAAGAGATTAGGAATGAGATTAGCGGCAGATAGTAGAGAGAGAAAGAGTGTGTTATCATTTGGTCATTAGGGCTGTGATATATATACACGATTCGAAACAGTGAGGCGGAGTCGTCGATGCTGAAATGTAGGTGGGGACCACTACGTGCTTCAGTAAGTAAGCGATATTTTCGGACAGTGCATGATTTGGTCACGTGACTGTCACGGGCTGGACGGTAATTTCTAAGGTCCGTGCATTCTTCTACTCACTTTGTTGCCTTCATTCTAGCTGAATTACTCAAACTTTAGATTCGATTTATTAGTTCAGAAAAAAAAAATAGATATCCTTTTTTTTTTCTTTACATAAACATTTTTTGAAATAAATTACGCAAAAATAAATAATACCTATAATTACACAATAGACCTTTTATTTTCAAAGTTGTTGCAGTTTGCTGTCAAAGAAAATGTATCTATTTTGATCTGCCTATTTATTCTTCTGTTTCTCAGGGATAATTCAAATTTGGATTTGTCAACAACAAGAAACAAAAGTTATTAGTTATTACACAGGAGATTCAGTACAAATGTTTATTACATATTTCTCAATCTCAAATATGTTCAAACTTCAAACCTGCCTTCGCCACAAAACACAAGGTAAAAAAACACGAAAAAATGCACGCTGTAGACAAGGTACAATTAAGTTGAGTGTGGGAAAAGTTTAAGCTAAGGTTGGAGGGATCCATAAATAGCCATGTGTCTGCACATACCCTGCCTTCTCCAACAGTTCATCTGCTTCGGCAGGGCCTCTGCTACCAGGCTTGTAGGGCAGTGACTTAACTTCTCCGTTATCTATTCGGTGCAGAAGTGGTGTGAAAATCTCCCATGCAGCCTAATCAAGATTGCCAACAAAAAGTAAATACATATATATGTACTCGAAATGTTTATTTATGTATTTTCAAGAAATGTTCGGTTGCGGTTTCGTAGTGTTTACCTTCAACTCGTCTCTTCGGACAAAATGCTGCTGATCCCCTTTGATTCTGCAAACAAAAAACATGAAACTTAGGATTACCAAACAAAAATAAGAAAGTTTTTTTTTTCTCTTTTTTTCTATAATAAATGGCAATAAACGTAAGTGTGCGTACGTGTCGAGAATTAGACGTTCATAAGCCTCGGGAATGACAACCCCTTGATAACGTTGCCTGTACGACAAGTCTAGTTCACTCTGAGCAGTGGACATTTCCAATCCAGGCTGCTTCACCTGAATGAGAGAGAAGAAGAAAAAGTCGGGAAAAGAGGAGATAGAAACGCCAAGTGGCTCGACGAGAGCCATCCGATTCCACCAAAGTCATGATGTGATTGACCAGTATATCCATAAGGAAAATAACAATACTGAGTTTACTTACAGTTAGTTTCATGTAAATGGCCTCTGAAGGTTGCAGACGAATTACAATTTCGTTCCTTCCTTGATTTTGACCTAGATGATATTAAATTTTCATCAGGTTTATCCAATCAAAATATTGAGTTCCTGGTATATTTAATTTGAATTTTAAGAAAAAATTTAGCACATACATTTAAAGATATCACCAGGAACATTCTTCAATTGAACCCGTATATCTGCTTTCCTTGAACCTAAAGCTTTCCCTGCCTTAAGTATAAAGGGTACACCTACAGCAAGTAGTTCCCGGTCGTCTTACAAAACATCGTATTAAATAGTATATAACTCTAAAGTTTAATAAATGTAAATATTTTGGCTACCTTCCCATCTTTCATTGTGTATATGTAGAATCACTGATGCAAAAGTGGGAGTGTTTGAGTTGTCTGGGACCGTTGGATCATCCTTGTAGCCTTCATATTGTCCGAGCACCACCTCTTCATCTTTGATTGGAACGACTGATTGAAGAACCTGAGTTTCAACTACATTTAGTGAAACTATAAAATTATCTGCTCTATATGCAAGACACAACATATTGAAGAACAAGATTAAAAAACGCAGTGAATAAAAAGAACTAGAAAAAAAAAATGGCTATCGACAATCAAACTCATCAACAAGAATTTGCAATTTTTGAGGATCCTTTATGTACATACCTTGACTTTTTCATCTCGAATATGCTCAGGCGTCAGAGAAACAGGCTTCTCCATGGCGACAAGACAAAGAACCTGGCACATTTTATTTTTCCCAATATATTTAGGCAGAAGGAATGGTGTTAATTGAAATCAACTGTTTACTTCAAACAGAAGGTTAATAGAAAGGAAACTGATAATAGTCGCATGCATATTGATATTAGAATCTACAAGAAATATTTCTTAGCTGCACTATCAAGAATGGGTACAATATGCCATTGAATAATAAGTGCTATCAGACGAAGTATTGTAAGTGGCGCATCTCTGATCATGATCAAAACAGATGTATATTAGAAACAAAGTTGACTTTGACAATGAATTTTGCAAGCAGGAAAACATTCAAAACCAACGAGGCTAACCTGCAATAGGTGATTCTGGATTATGTCACGGATGATTCTGCAAAATAGATAAAACATACTCAAATTAAGAACAGAATATATATTTCTGAAGTTGATAAACAAGATTTATTTTCACAACAGAAGTAGTCAGAAGTGGAGAGCATACCCATACTGGTCGAAATACCCACCACGTCCCTCAGTTCCAAAATCTTCTCTAAACACAATCTGCGAAAGGAGTAACCAGATTTGCATTATTTTAATCAAGTGAAAACATTATTGTAATTTCTCGTCAATTAAGCCTGAATAACCTACCTGTACATTATCAACGTTATCACGATTCCAGAGAGGTAAAAAGAAGCGATTCGCAAACCGAAGTACCAACTGCAATGTTTTACATATGGAAATTATTATCTTTAGCACCGAGTGCTACATAATATACCTAGGTAACCTGACACATATTGCATTAGACAATTGAGTTCAATGATTATTACCAAGTTCTGGACCAATTCCTTCCCCAAATAATGATCTATACGGTAAATCTGTGGTTCTTCAAATAATTCTCCTATCTGGGAGCTCAGTTCCTCTGCTGAAGCCAAATCCTTGCCAAAAGGCTTCTCAACAACAACACGAGTCCATCCAACAAGATCAGCTGCAAAATATTATATGAAAGAGTCACGAAAATCACACTTACATGTCACATGGGAAGCACCAAATTAAATAGCATTGATAGTTTCCAAATTAAGAACTGTCTTCTCTCTCTAAGAATACAGTAGCTTGTAAAAAACTAAGTTTGCATTTTCAAGCAGTGGACATCAAGGTCGTTAAAACAAGGATTAAACAGTCAGCATTATCTATACCTATAAATAGTCTTTTCAATCAGCTTATTCCCCGGTTTGGCGAATTTTACCCCCATTAAAGTCCTTTAGAAACTAGAATAAAATCCCGATCATAAGACAGATTTTTAAACAATAAAAGACCGATTATTGATTAAGGAAACACATAAGGAGTGAGAGTCTGCAAATAAAACATACATCTATTCATGGAATAATTCTTGATCATTTTGCAGACTTGTGGATACACAGATGGAGGCAGCGCAAGGTAGAATAGCCTGCGCGATGACCCTTCCGCACTGTTTATCGATATTTCGTACTCAGATATTGCCTTATCTAAGGCTTGAAATCCTTCTGGAGCATCGTAAGCCCCACTAACATATTTGATCTACATTTCCGAGGAAAGTTTAGCCTATTGTAACCATATATTTCCCTTTAAGGTTAAGCAGATGATGATATATATGTATATATATATATATATATATATATATATATATATATATATATATATATATATATATATATATATATATATATACATATACCTATATATATATGCATATATATATATATATATATATATATATATATATATATATATATATATATATACAGTAAACACTAACCAAGTGCAGAAAGTTGGAAACATCTTGTGTGCCTTCTTTCCCCTTGGGAAGATACCTACATTAGTTAATTATAGTCGGTGAATCCAATCCAAAAACTAGCCAGATGCATTAGCTTCAGGGGATAATCAAGAGAACTACATATTTTATTGCAAGGCATTCCCAGATGAAAGATGTCAGTAAATAAACACGCACAATGACTCCCACTATTGGATCAAACTCAAACTGAAACATGCAGAAACCTTACCCTCGGATCCGATCTCGCAGTTCCTCGTCAGATATCTTGGTCCTTGCATATCCAAAAATGTGAACCTCGTTTGATGGCAAAAATCCCTGAATATCAAACAGTTCAATTTAGTATGAACCATAAGAGATGAGTTTGCTTTCAAAAGACAGTTTACTTTTAGCTTCCACCGAAAGGACAAAGGTTCTAAATACAACCAATGAACTTTTCTCACATACGAAATCTTAAAAGGGAATATCATCTTCTACAGTTCAAATAATAACATGTAATTAGCATTAACTATTTCATTGAATAAATTTCATTCTAGAAGCAAATAATCAACCGCATACTAGATGAAAATCAGATTGAATTAAAAGCGGAACCAATATTTCTGATTAACCTGCCGATAAAGGTTGAAAAGTGCGGGGAAGGTCTTCTTCTTAGCAAGATCGCCAGAAGCACCGAGAACAATGATAGAGAGGCTTCCCGTTTCAGACACAGTCTCATGTACTTTAGTAAAAGACTCATTCTTAGGGAAAGGTCTCTTTTCACAGTGCCATTCACCCAATTCCGACATTCTCCAAATTCAGCAGAAGCTAAGATAAATCTCCGATCTGCACATTATAATCAAGTCAACAATTTCAATAGTTTAATTTGCATAGGTAACAGCTTCATATTAATTCGTAAACACAATTAACAAATTCATAATCAACTGCCAAAACAGCTCAAAGTACGGATACAGTCAACTCTAACGCCGATGCTAAAATTCATCTCTGATTAAGCAGATACACAATCAAATCGAGAAAAAAAAACAAATCGATTAATTACTATTCAAGTAACTTGCAGTAAAATTGGAATACTGAAAAATGAATTATCCAAACAGCAATTAACTAAAATAGAAGTAGTGATTCAGTCAAACCAGCCGATTTTTGTTTGATCCTAAAAAAGGAAAAACAATAGATCCAAAAAAGGATCGTCGTTCGCACAAATCTGGCGCTAGTAAAAAACACAAAAAAATAGACTGCCAAACAACAGAAATACGATCAATCACAAAAAAAAAATTGTGATTTCTTTCACCTCAGATTAGAAGCAATAATTAGGTGAAAGAAAATGAATCGAGTATACCTTTGCAGTATTGCCTGATCGGATGAGATGTTTTGGCAGAGTTGTCAAATTTGACTTGCTAGTGCGCGAGAGTGTGAGTTGGTGTACGATTTTGCAGATATTCTTTTTTGGAGTTTTGATCAATCATTGACCCTATTTGCCTCTAATTGGTCATAATCACCAAATTGACCCCTGTGTTTATAATTAATTACAAATTGTTAACTGTATTTGATTTGACAGGCAGATTGGAAAAGAGGCGTGATTTGAAATAGTAAATTGACCCCTTTGTTTATTGTTAGTTGCAAAGTGGTGTGATTTGGGGTGTATAATTCTTGAAATAGTAAATTGACCCCTTTGTTTATTGTTAGTTGCAGAGTGGTGGTGTGTGCTCTTCATATTATTCTACAATCTACACTTGTTTGAGATTTTTTTTTTTAAATGAAAACTTACACTCTTGTATAACAGCTTACAGTCAATTATATAGGTGAACTGGGTAAAATTACATTTTTGTATAATAACTTGCAAGATGCATTGGATAACCTACACTCTGGTATTATAGTTTGCAAATCATACGAAAGTCAATCATATAGGTGAACTGTGTAAACTAACACTCTCGTATAATATCTTGCAAAGTGCACTGGATAAACCTACAATATGATATAATAATAGCTTGCAAACTATATGAAAGACGTAAACCACAATCGGTTAATCATGCGTGACAGATTCCACCTAGCGACCGTTAATAAGAGGATTTGAACTTGAGTTAATTGACACGTAATCACTTACTCCAACCGCTAGGTCATTCTTTACGGGTATCTTCTGTATTTTAGACATTAGGCAAGCCTACTATGCCTAGGACGGTAGAACCCAAACTATTGTATATTTGTATTTGGGTACTCAAAAACTATGTTGATTATTATTAAGGCCTCCAAATACGAATAAAATTTTATATTTTTATATAAATAAAGAAAAAAATAATATGGACCCCAAATTTTATAGAAAATATGATAATAATACTTTTGATTATTCCACTTAAAAATAAATAAATACCCAAAATATTTACTTTTATATTAAAATTTTAATTTCACTTTATCTTTTTGCCTACGGCCCTATATGAATTTGGGCCGAGCATGACGTCATCCGACGGGTCTAGACATTCTGAGGCCCAATTCTCTATATCCGATAGTATTTGGTGGAGGTGCAGAGCACGCGCCACGTAGCACGTGATATCTTTATTGAAAAACTTTATGCCCAACCATGCTTTCTCTTTCATCTTTATTAACAGTTGTACAGCTGATTCATTCCTCATCTTTGCTTCCACCATAACCTGGTGGATAATTAATTAAAACTCTTCCCTAATTATTTAATTAAATCAAGCTTCAATATTTTATCATTATTTACCAAATAAGTCATTTAATAAATCATAATAATAATAATAAGATCTAGCAATAACGTATATAAGATTTCATTTAAATTGAAGACTTTAATTTTTCTAATATTTTGTTTGGATATGTTATTTTATAAAAGAAAAGAAATTAAAAAGAGTGGAGAGACGAAAAGGAAAGCTCTTTAAAAGAGAAATATTCAGAAAAATAAAATAATAATAAATTAAATAAAATAAATAAATAATAATTCAGCAAAAATCAAAAGTACAGCTCCACAACCCAACCCAACCCATCATCAACAAGAACAAAACCAACGATTGCTTTCTCTAATTTTCGCCTTTTTCCCTCTTAAACCCCATCGGCGAAACTTTTGCTTTCTCTCTCTACATCTGCTTTCAGTTGGGGGCATCTGTTTTCTGATTTCAAACTCTTATCGTTTTTTGTTTTTGTTGTTGTTGCCCCCAATTGGTTTCTTCTGCATCAAAAAAATTGAAACAAGCTTTAATTTCTTCGTCAATGGCTCATCGTGTTTGCAATAATCACCTCAATATTTGAGCATTAGGTGTTGATTTTAACTTGTGTAGCTATTTCTGGTGTTAGGTTCAAGGTGTTGTTGCTCTTTTGATGCTTTTGTTGGCGATTTTTTTATGAAATGATGGTTTCTGGATCGCGCCTAGATCTCGAGGCGTCCTGATCTGGCTTAGTAGTTGGAAATCTGTATGAAATTAGGCACAACGGAAAGCTGAGGTTAGTTCATAAACCTGCATCTTTTTTTTCTTTAGTTTTTTTTTTTTTTTTTTTTTTTTTTTTTTTGAAGATGTATATCTCAATTTTTTGAATTTTTTTTTGCCAAAAAATGATTTTTTTTTGGTCAATCTTAATTTGAACTCCGTTTTTTTGGATTTTCATCTATGGATTTGACGGTGACATGAAAATTATGTTTGACCTTGATTGTTTTTTGGAAGGGTGGACTTTTGCTATTTTGGGTATGGTTTGGGGGCTTTTCTGGTGTTAATTCTGTTTATTTTCGTTTTTATTTCCGTTTGTTTGAACAGGAGGCGATTTCTAAGCTGGTAAGAGCATAATTACATAAGTCAGGGTGGGGAATATATTGAGTATAAAGGGGGATAGTTTCCCCACGAGTAGCCTATGATTGGTTCGCCCGATTCCGTTACATTTATGGTGTTGTGATTGATTGGTGACTGCATTGGATATAATTTAAGGAAAGTTTCGATTTTGTGCTGTCAGTTATGATAAAAAATATTCTCAATAGGCTTCCTCGAAAACAGAACAAGTTAGTTGATAATCGCGATGGAGGATCCTCTACTTTGGCTTCAAATTCTTCAAGAACAAATTCGCGTTCGAACGCCACAGCTGTTTCCGGTATCAACTCAACCTCAAACTCCGGCCAACATTACATGCCGTTACATACAAAGATAAACGGGAATGGAGCACATATGCCGTACGAGGCACTTCCCAGCTTTAGAGACGTGCCGAATTCCGAGAAGCAAAACTTGTTTCTCAAAAAGTTGAGCATGTGTTGTGTAGTGTTCGACTTCGCCGACCCAGTGAAGAATTTGAAAGAAAAAGACGTCAAGAGGCAGACATTAGTGGAGCTTGTCGATTACGTTGCTTCAGCAAATGGGAAATTCCCAGAAAACGTTATGCAAGAGATGGTGAGAATGATATCAATTAACTTGTTCCGCACACTTTCCACTCAGCCTCGTGAAAACAAAGTATTAGAAGCCTTCGATTTGGAAGAAGAGGAGCCTCTGATGGACCCCGCTTGGCCCCACTTGCAAGTCGTTTACGAATTCCTTCTCCGATTTGTGGCTTCGCCCGAGACAGATGCCAAGCTGGCAAAACGATACGTGGATCACTCTTTCGTACTCAGATTGTTAGAGCTTTTTGATTCGGAAGATCCTAGAGAGAGAGACTATTTAAAAACTGTTCTTCACCGGATATACGGGAAATTCATGGTCCACCGCCCCTTCATTAGAAAATCGATCAACAATATATTCTTCAACTTTATTCTAGAAACGGAGAAGCATAATGGGATAGCTGAGCTTTTAGAGATTTTGGGCAGCATTATAAATGGATTTGCGCTGCCTTTGAAAGAAGAGCACAAGCTTTTCCTTGTTCGGGCGCTCATTCCACTTCATAAACCGAAGTGCATTCCCATATACCATCAGCAGCTATCTTATTGCATTACGCAGTTTGTCGAGAAGGACTGCAAACTTGCTGATACAGTCATAAGAGGGTTGGTCAAATACTGGCCGATCACAAACAGTTCGAAGGAGGTCATGTTCTTGGGCGAGCTCGAGGAAGTGTTGGAAGCAACTCAGCCTCCAGAGTTTCAGCGTTGTATGGTTCGTTTGTTTCGTACCATTGGTCGATGCCTTAGCAGTTCGCACTTTCAGGTGGGCCCCTCTGATAAAGGTTTTTGCACTCCCGTTTATTTATATTATATTATTATAGTTCTTGATACTTGTTAGAGATGTTGTGGATTTGTTTTCTTCTTTTTTGCTCCCCTTTTAACTAAATCCTTTTGACTATTTTTTATGCATTTATATGATTTACACATGCATCTTTCCACAATCCAGATGAAATGTAAAAATCCGCCCCTAATGTATGTTCCTGTTCCGAATGAAATTCGTAAATATTAATGACTTGCTCAATTTCTTGACTCATTTTTGTTTGTTGAATTATCATCCGTCTTCTTACAAGGCTAATATGTGCATTTTGACGATCGGTCAACAGAGATGCGTTTCATGCTGCTTCTAAATTGATTGGCCCGTAGCATATTGCTTATCATGCTGCTTCTAAATTGATTGCTGGAAACTAGGCGTGGTTTCAAATCCAATAATTTATCTTCCCTGACTAACTTGAAATTTCGAGTTTTTGACCCGTTGGTTTGAAATAACTTCTCTTTTATGTGCGTGAGCTACATATAGTATCACTTTTAATGTTTCCTTCATTACGAAAAAGATTATATGATATTCTTGTCAACACTTTCTAATTGGAGACATAAACTATTGAAAAGCATGGTTTGATGTCAAACATAAGTTCAACAGCCATTGAAAAAAGATTGCAATGCCTAGTCAACTCTAACCACTATTACTAAACCTTAAAAGAAAATGCATTACCAATTCGAAGTATGAAACTTTTTAGTTATGATTAGATGATAAATGTTATGGAACTTCGGCTCTCCGTTGCTTAAATTCTGCCCCCCACCCCCACCCAGTGGAAGTTAAGAGGGCACTCTCTCTTTATGATCTTTTAATATGATTCTTGTTTCTACAGGTAGCAGAACGGGCTCTCTTTTTGTGGAACAATGATCACATCGAAAACCTGATCAAACAAAATCGTAAAGTCATACTCCCAATTATATTTCCTGCATTAGAAAGAAACGCAAGAAGCCATTGGAACCAGGCTGTCCAAAGCTTGACATTGAATGTCCGGAAAATCTTCTCCGATGTGGACCCAGAGCTATTTGAGGAGTGCTTGCTCAAATTCCAAGAAGACGAAGCAAAAGAAGAAGAGAATAAGACGAAACGAGAATTAATATGGAAGCGTCTAGAGGATATAGCCGCAATGAAAGCTGCTAGTAATGAACCGGTGCTCGTTCCTCTCAGGACGAATAGCAAGGCGACATCTGGTTGAAAGCCCTGCCTAAGGGCTGCGTCTTTCTTAAATTGCTATTGGTTGCTATGTTTGCTTACTGTGTTGATTGATTTTGCTCTAATCACACCTTGTCTTTTTTTCTTCTTCTTTTTTTTATTTATTTATAATTATTGTTGAGAAACAGTGAATGTAAATATAGAATTGGGGTGGAGAATCTTCAGGGGATGTTTTACATGGAGAAAATTTCTTTTACGCCCTTACCCAGTTTTCCAATTATGCACCTTCATCGGTAGTTTTTTTTTTTTTTATTGTTAACTTTTTTTTTGTCTATTGGGTATATTAATCGACTATGAAGCATAGTCGATTAAGGAACCGAATACTAAAAATAAAAATAAAAAAACATAAAAACGAATCAACATCTTTTTTACAAAACAAATATTTTGCGATTATTCTGAAACTGGAATAAGTCGCGTTTACACATGAGAAAAAAGAAGAAGTCGCGTTTTAAGAATACCAATTGTTGCACCTAATTATGTGAAATTTATAATTTATTTTGAACTTTTATCTGCTCAAAGCTTTGCTTCTTCTAATGTATGTTACACTGGTATAAGGATTCTCTATTACTTTCTCCATTGTATAGTCATGAGAATGCGAATATATATATACACATGATATAGCCAGTGGAAAAGACAATATGTAATTCCACTGAGCATATTGACATCTCTTTTTGAATTATAATTTGCAAATTAATGTCTTTTCTCTGAATAATATTTCTTTTTAAGTAGTTTCACAATAAATAGTAGCTTATATTGCTAGATTAATGAGTATGAGATGTTTAAATTAATGAAATTTTTAAATCATTACTCATAAGCAAATAAATATTGAAAATAGATTTTAACTAAATCATGCCAAAAGTTTTAGACATTTCATAATCTCTATTGAATCATGCCAAAGTTTTAGACATTTCATAATCTGCTGGATCAAAATTTGCATAAGCAGCCATAGGATCAAACGTCACCAAAGAATGGCACAAAGGGCACTCCCTCTTCTCCAACAAGCTTCCAACAATGCAATGTGAGTGCATGGCATGACCGCATGAAGGGAGCACCGATATCTGATCACCCACAATTGGGGCCCGCAAACACACACCGCAATCTTGCATCATAGCCAAACCTTGATTAAGGTCTTCCACTCTAGTCCTCTCTAGCTCCCACAAAAATACTCGAAACATATCGCCCAACGGAATAGCGGGAGGCGGCCCGTTTTCCAACCCCATCTGCAACGGATACACGTACAACGGTATCAACTTTTCCGCCCTAATCACCCTCTCCAACGCGGGCCCCACCTCCTCGCCTTCTTGCTGCACCGTGCAAACTTTTAGGTAAATGCCTATAGGAACTGTTCTCCGGTGGGCACGCCCGGGGTCCGCCTCTATTTCTTTGGTGAAATCGATAGCGTCTTGGTCGAATCTAGCGATATCCTCTTCGGTCATCCAGTACTCCTTCAGTCGGTAACTAGCCAGCCAATTAAAACCGAAAAGCAGTTCGGCTTCTTGTTCGCCGTTTACACTTATTTCCGCAAAGCATCTCTCCGAGCCCATGATCTCATCTACTCCGTCCGTTTTCTTCAAGATGAAGATGGTTCTAATCTCAAAGAGGAAGGTCTTTTTTCCTGGGACAAGTGTGTAATTATAGCGCAGGACGATTTCATCATCCACCGAGAACTCATAATTGTATTCGTATCCCGCTCTTCCTGTAGCAGACATTTTTTTTTGTCCTTGTCAAGTACAGCCAGCAGATTGACCTACACATATCACAATATCACAATCCGATTAAAAAATATCTAAATTTATTATGAATCAAGTCACTAAAAGTAAAACAAATTGCTTCCAGCAAAATATCATCGCGAACAACAAAAAAATTATATCTTTTACAATTTCCCCTACCACGCATTCCAGCAAAAGATCATCAGGAAAAATTAAAAATTATATCTTTTAACAATTCCACCTATGCGTATTCCAGCAGAGAGAAACAACATAAAAACCATCAAAATAAGCAAATAAACGTAACGTACCTCACGATGAAAGGAAAGCACAACCAGCGATTTGTTTTCAAGAGAAAAAAAAGAGTAAGGAATTGTATAAATAAGAGAAAACCCTAGTATTCAGAAAAAGAGATCAAATTGAATTGGGAAAGTTTTCGGTGTTGAGTAAGGAATCTGGAATTATATAAATAAGAAAAAACCCTAGTTAGAGATCAAATTAAATTGGGAAAGGTTTCGGTGTTGAGTAAGGAATTATATTCGGAAAGAAAAGAGATCAAATTGAATTAGGAAAGATTTGGGCGTGAATTTTACAAAGAGATCCACTTAAATCGAGGAGGTATTACAGTAAATTTACACTTGGACCCCGCTAGTATTTCCTGTGTGGTAAATACCCCTGAACTATCGAATATGTCAAAAGCACCCCCGCGTATAAAACATTATTGAATAAACAACGCAAAAAGATATATCTAGCTCTATGTTGTCTGCACCACTAGGGGTGCAAGTTGGAACGAAATTTCTAATTTTCGGCAACTCCGATCCGAAAAGTTCCTATTTTGGTACAAACTTTTTCATTCCGACTTCCGAAATTCCAATTTTCGATTTTTTTGAATGGAATTGAAATTATATAAAATTTATTTGGAATTTCCGGTTTTCGATCCGATTTAATTCTGAAATTAATTCCGAAAGATTCCGATTTTTTTTCAAAAAATACAGCCTATAAATAATATATATTATATAATATTTATTTTCCGAAAAATACACTTATAAGTTTTGTTTCAGGATTTTGACATAATGAATTTTTGTTAGAAGTTTTATTGGATGTTATGCTCTGTTTATTTTTATTTAATTTTTTGAATTGAAATTTAGCATTTATTAGTTTAACTTTTATGGACGTAGATGTTCTTATTTTTGATAAATTATGAACATTTTCGAAAATAGTTTTGAAATTTTAAATCTTATGTGATTTCCAATTTTTTTTCGAAATTCCGAAATTTCCTGACCTTTTGGAATTGGAATGAATTTTTAGATTCCGAAAGTTTTGGAAATGATTTTGTGCTTCTGAATTTTTTTTGGAAATTTTATGAAAAGGCTAATTCCGATCCGATCCATCCGACTTTCACCCCTATCCACCACTTCCTGAAATTAATAATCCGTTAGAACTCTATCGGCATACGGTATTCAATACATTTCTAACCACGTTAGAGTTTCAAGGTATCCAATATATTATCCGTTAGAGTTTCTAACCACGTTTCAAGGTGATTATAATTACTTATACCACATGGACCTTAAAGATATTTTAGCATACCCTCGTGCGTGTAGGTGCAATTTACCTTTTATATTATTAGGGCTAAATACACTTTGCACCCCTGAAATATAGCTCATATAACACTTACCCCCTAAAGTATCATTTGTAACACTTACCCCCTCAACATCAATTATTTTATATTTTAGGGTAAATTACACCACACCCCTGAGGTATACTTAAATAATTTTAAGGTCCCTATGGTATTGATAATTACATTCACCCCATGAAACGTAGTTATAAACTCTAACTGGATTATGCATTGGATACATTATTCTGATAAGGTTCTAATGAACTATTACTTTTAGCTAGTGGTGGAGATAACATAGAGTTATGGGGAGTTATGTGGTGACATGACTCCCCAAATATGTCTTAAATCACCCATAACTTTTTATTGTCTCCACCACTTCCTAAAACCAATAGAGCGTTAGAACTCTATCGTAATAACGTTTCCAATGCATTATCCCATTAAAGTTTAAACTACGTTTCAAGGGGGTGAGTGTAATTATCGATACCACAGGGACCTTAAAGTTATTTAAGCATACATCAGGGGTGTGGGTGTAATTTACCCTATATTTTAAAATTAAAAAAATAATAAACATAACAATCTAATAATTAACGGTTCATAGAAAATTAAAAAGTAACTAAAATTAATTATTGAAAAAAAAATTAAAAAGTAATATATATTGGGTAATAATGAATGAAAATATATTTAAAAAATTAATAAACTGAAATAAATTTAAATACTTAAGATTTCTATTAGTTATTTATTGATTTTTTAAAATTTATCGATAGAGTATTTTGACTAATTGCAACAACAATTAGATGTTATTTATTGAAAAAATATCCAACGCAAGATAATACTTTTAAGGACAAATGACAAATAGGCCCATGACAAGGGCACTTAATTAAAAGAGGGACATCCAACTTTTTTGTTTATCAAATAAATTCAACCTATTCAAACTTATTTGCAAATAAGGAAAATCCTTTTATATATACCAAAATTACCCCGAATTCATTGAAACCCAATTCAGCTCCAATTTCATGATTTACACCACAATTTAGCCAAATTTCATCAATTAACCAATTTTAACCTAATTTCAATTTTGACCCGCCACCGTCGGAGAACGCTGGTCAGCCGCCGTGGACCGCCGGTCTCCGGCGTTGACTTTTTTTTTTCTTAAAAATATATTGTAATTAATATTTATCTTGGCTACTAAATTAATGTCTCCAACAGTTATTTAACTGTCAGAAACAGTAATTTAACAGTTAATTGACTTTATTTTCTTCAAAAATATTTTAATTAATATTACTGTCTTGGCTGCTAAATTACTGTCTCCAGTAGTTATTTAACTGTCTGAGATATTCATAATATTAGTGTATTACTGTCCCAAGCAGTAATATTACTGTATGAGACAATAATTTAGTAGCCAAGACAGTAATAATAATTAAAATATTTTGTTCTAAAAAAAAATCGGAAAAAGAAAAAAAAATAAAAGTCAACGCCGGGGACCGGCGGTCAACCGTGGTTGACCGGCCAGAAAAAAAATTCAGGAAAAAAAAGGTTTTTTAAAGAAAAAAAAAGAAAGAAAGAAAAAAAGGTCAACGCCGGCATCTGGCCGGAAAAAAAATTTAGAAAAAAAAATCTTTTTTCAAAAAATTATTATTTTGGGGTTAATATGATATATTTGTTTAAATTCAGGGTCAATGTCTAATATTAAGAAAGTTAGAGCATAGTGGATGAAATTGATAAGAATTATATTATGGCGGATATTTTAGACTAAATGCATGGGGATGGGTTTATTTGATTTTTTTTTTTTTGACCAATATGCATTTAAATCCCAAGTAATTTCCTTATTTGCCATTCGCTCTATTTTTAAATTTTAAAATATTGTGTTTTGCAATAGATATTTTTTAGTTATATAATTTAATTATTTTTTTAGTCATTCCTTTTAATAAAATAATTTTTTTAAGGTATTAAAATTTAAAATACAAATTAAATTGTGCTTGAGGGGATATGTGTTTGAAATAATACTTTAAGGAGGTAAGTGATAGATAAAATATATTTTAAGGTGCAAACTGTATTTAACCCATATTATTATTACTCCGTAATTCCTACTCTCTCTCTCATCTCTTCTCTCTCTAAACGATTCAGAAAATAATTCGGAAATTTCAGTTTTCCAAGAGCTAAAACCCTTGATAATTGCTATGGTGTAAAATCCACACAGCAGTTCTGATTTCCTGACGCCGTTCAGTAAGCTGTGTTTTGCTCGCCTAAATGAGCTTTAGAGACGGAGAATTGTAGAGTTTTAAGATAGATTTACACACAAAAAAATTCTATCTTTTTTTGGGGGAAATGCCAAGCATTGGTGTGAAATTGTACAGCGTCTTCTTCAAATTTATGCTCAAGCATCGCTTACAGAGCCGATTGCAGTCGCCGGAAAACGACGCTGTCGGTGGTGGTTCGTTTGGGGTGACGTCACGGCCGCAGGAGGAAACAGCCGCAGCCGCCAATCCATCCTTCACCGACGGCGTCGCGACAAAGGACATACATATCGATCCCGTGACATCTCTCTCCGTTCGTGTTTTCCTTCCCGATACCTGCCTTCATCTCCCCGAAGCTCCGGCAAAATCTCGGGTCGGAGCTCCGAATCCTGGATCCGATTCGAATCCAGTCTTAACTCGCCGCTTCAGCTATGGATCGTCGGATAACGTTACTGTTTCCGGCAGCAATGCTGTGGTTGTGAAGCGCGCGCAGAACAACTTTGCTGATAGAAGGAGTAGCTACGGATGCAGTATCGACGATGCGAATTTAAAATTCGAAAACGGAAATGGAAATTACAGAGGGTATAATCCGGTCGGTAAAAACCCCCGCAGATTACCGGTGATGCTGCAGTTTCACGGCGGAGGGTTTGTGAGTGGGAGTAATGATTCGGTGGCGAACGATTTCTTCTGTAGAAGGATTGCACGATTATGTGACGTGATTGTGTTGGCGGTGGGTTATAGATTGGCCCCGGAGAATAAATACCCTGGGGCGTTCGAAGATGGGTTGAAGGTGCTGCATTGGCTTGCGAAGCAGTCGAATTTGGCGGAGTGCGGCAAATCTCTTGGGGGGTCGAGGGGGGCGGGGGTCGATGTAAGGCGGTCAGAAGGTAATTGGCATGTTGCAGATGCTTTTGGAGCGTCGATGGTGGAGCCTTGGTTGGCTGCTCATGGAGATCCATCTAGGTTTGATTTTCAATCTCACTTACCTTTTTTTTCGATGTTACTTGCTTGTTGATTGTTATTGTTTGTTATTACAATGTGATAGTGTAGAAGCTGTGATGTAATGAATGGTGCAAAACAGGAAAAAAAAAAAAGGCGGAATCTTACATATAGTGTGATTCAATTTCAACATGGTGATCCAATTTGTAGCTGGATCAATCATCTTTCCCAAACTTGAGCATGAGATTAAACATTTAGGTAGTGTTGCTTAGAGCTTGCATGTCTGTTTCATTTGTAGCTCGTCTTAGTGGTTCTAGCAGAGTTTTTTCGAAGTTCGTTTCTGTTATAGTTTGTTGATGAGTTGAAGATAATTTTTAGATGATTCGTGGTTCAGGATTCATGGAGTTTTACAGTACTTACAAGCCCAGTAACGATGACACGTTTTTTTTCCATTATTCAAACTCTGTGATATGTGATTTGATACAAAATAGATGGTCTAATATACACAAAATAGCTAGATATAATAGCTATTTCCAGTATCGGGAGTTGCTGTTACGTCTTAAAGCCCCACCTCGCCTTGGTTAGTTGGTTCAACCATAAACCGTCAAAATTTCACTATTCAACCAGTATATTCCCTTTTTCAACTATGTCGATCAAATTTCTAACCTTTGGCTGCGCTTCGAATTATACGACTAGTGTTCAAATTGAAGCGATCAAATTTCTAATCTTTGGCTGAGCTTTGAATTATACGACAAGTGTTCAAATTGAAGTGTATGGTTAGAAACAAGACTGCGACCAAATAAACCCCCATGTCCTGGCATTGGTTGTTTTTTTGTCGCAAAATCACCCAATTCGGATTTTTACCCTATTTTCTTAATTTGGTTCGCTGTCAATTGAAGTCACTGTTTTACGATTTCGCCAATATTTTTATCACCATCTCCTTAAAATTCAAGAATCTTTGAATTACATTGAAACAGATGTGTACTTCTTGGAGTTTCTTGTGGAGGAAATATCGCCGACTATGTGGCAAGAAAATCCGTAGAGGCAGGCAAGCTACTAGACCCCGTAAAAGTGGTGGCACAAGTTTTGATGTACCCGTTTTTCATCGGAAGTATACCAACACCTTCAGAAATAAAACTCGCAAACTCCTACTTCTACGACAAGGCCATGTGCATACTCGCATGGAAACTCTTCCTGCCGGAGGAACAGTTCAACCTTGACCACCCTGCCGCCAACCCACTAGTCTCCGGCAGAGAGGGCCCACCTCTGAAGCAGATGCCTCCGACACTGACTGTGGTGGCGGAACACGATTGGATGAGAGATCGAGCGATTGCCTACTCTGAGGCTCTCCGAAAGGTAAATGTAGACGCACCTGTTTTAGAGTATAAAGATGCAGTTCATGAATTTGCTACTCTTGATATGCTTCTCAAGACTCCTTTAGCTCAGGCTTGTGCTGAAGATATTGCTATTTGGGTGAAGAAACATATTTCTCTTCGAGGGCATGAATTTTCTTACTGATTTTCCGGGAGGGTATTTCGGGTATTTTCTCTTCTTTTTTTCGTCTTTGTTTTCGTCTTTGTTGTATGATAGTTAGTTGCTTGTATGAGATTAGGAATATAGGTGAGCTTGATCTGCAACTTTCTTGAAGAAGTCCATTTATATTGACTTCTCATGACCAATGTATTCATACTGTTATTACTTGAATTACTTGATCCAGATTATGTGTGTGTATTTTTCAATTGATAATGTTCTGGTGGACCATTTTTTATAGAACTAGTATAGTTGATAATTTTTATTTTTTTTAGTATAATGGACAAAATTACTCAAATAATATTTAGTACTAAAAAGTTATATATAGAACTAGTATAGTTGATAATTTTTATTTTTTTTCAAAACAATTGAGGAGCTCGCAATGGCCAAGTTTATTAAAAAGAGATTATAAAATGTTTGAGAACTTATAAGCTCTTCTAAAGTGTTGGATAAATATATTTAAAAAGATTTTAAAATTTTCAAAAAATAAATTGTTGGGGAGCGATCAAATAAGATCATTATTCAAACACTTTAATAATTAATTCAAATAATAAGACGTAATACCTTATAAACTCTTAAAATAATTTATCAGACAGAAGAACTTATCTGTTTAAAATAAGGTTAGCCTAACGGGACCCTTATAATTTGTTTTTCATTCACAGCCCTCTATTCAATTTGAACTCAATTAGTCTCGTATTTTAAGTTCTTTGAAGTTTGAATAGTGTTATGACTTATGATAAGTGATTTTACACATAACATATATATATATATATATATATATATATATATATATATATATATATATATATATAATATGATTTATATTGCATACATTATTAAAAGAAAAAAAAAAGTCAAAATAATTGAACGTTACTTGACAATGAGTTTTGAAACAGTTGGGACCCATTCAAGTCTGAAAAAAGAAGAGCCTAAGCCTTGAATATCCAAGAAAAAAAAAAATAAACATTTAAAAAATAGCGGTAACAGTACTCTACACTCTCCACTGTGTGTGGCCTACACTTTATAGCTCCCAACATTTGCTTTTTGCAATTTAAATTTCATATTCTCAAGTATTCAGACGACAAATCTAGTGCATGGGAATCAGTACACAATGAAAGCACACACAAGAGCACATATGCACACAGACAGATCCTTTTGTCTTTAACCTCGTTTTTCTCTTCCTCAGTTCACCAAATCAATCATCTCTGCAAACTAGAAATGGGAGATTCAACTTGTCTCTTGCATGGTTTCTCTTATGCTTCTGCCATCCCCAATCAATCCAAACAGGTCTCTCTCTCTCTCTCTCTCTCTCTCTCTCTCTCTCTCTCTCTCTCTCTCTCTCTCTCTCTCTCTCTCTCTCTCTCTCTCTCTCTCTCTCTCTAACAAAGTAACTAGTTTGAGTTCATGGAAGCAGTGGTTTGTGGAAAAAGTAGCACCATGGTTTTGAATTCTTGAAAAAAACTCTGGGTTTTTACTTTTTTTCAAGAACTGATTTTTTTTTTTAATTTTTTTTTTTACAGGGAAACTCCATGCATCAGCTGGGAGAATCAATTTCATTCGGAAGATTCATGAATGAATCTCTATCATGGGATAAATGGTCATCTTTTCCACACAAGAAATACGTAGAAGAAGCCGAGAGATACGCGCAGCCAGGTTCTGTGGCCGAGAAAAAAGCTTTCTTTGAAGCCCATTACAAAAGAATCGCCGCCCAAAAAGCTGCAGCTTTATTACTACTCGAGCAAGAAAATGCTTCCAAAATCGAAGATGTTGTTAAACCAGTAGATATTGATGATGATGATGATCAAAGACCAATCTTTGATAATTCTCATGCTCAATTTGATGTTCTTGATACAGAGGAAGAAACTGTTGAAGTGAATGCTGGTAGTAAAGATAGTTTAGTTTCTGCAGTCGAAATAATCGAAGAAGGCGAAAATGCGGATATCGTCGCAGAAGAGAGAATTTCAATTGACAAGTTTGATAATCTTGAAAACAAAGAGACAACGGCTTCTGTGTCAGAGGGTAGTAGTGGAATGGAGAGGCCTTTGCTAAAGGTATTACCTTTTTTTTTTCTTGTCTGAAATTTGTTGTGTAATATAAACTAAGTGTTGTGTGTGTGTGTGTGTGTTTGTGTGTTAAATGCAGCAGAATTCAGATGATGTTAGTGAGGAAATTTCATCGGCGACTAGCAAGAAATTACCGGGTATTTCTTCGATTAGGCGAAAAACGTGGAAAATTCCGCCAACTACCCCTGCAAAACCGGCTACTCCTCATTTCAAGAAAGAAAATAATTTCATTCCAATTAGCACAAGAAAGTGTAATGTGGAATCAATGGAGAATAAGAGACCTTCTCCGAAGTCTTTCCGTAGATTAATTAACTTGATCCCGAATAAAGATCCCGATAAAGAATCGATTTTTGCTTCGAAGAATCCAGTGCTTAAAACCCCTATGAGGACTCCAATTTTGGTGATTTTTTCTTAATTGAATAAATTATTACTCAGTAATGTTTATTGGAAATTCTTGATTTTAATTTTAATTTTTTGAATTGCAGGGAGCTGCAAAAAAGGGTGTTTCCAAGAATCCTGCAGCTACTCCTCTATCAGAAAACAGGTGCCGATTTTTTTTCCCTTTTTTCGTAAATATTTCTACGCATTTAGTTATCGAACGGAAAATTCGTTGGGTATCGACGATTTACGAATGTTATAATTACAATGCACAGGATGAAAACACCTATTGCTCCCAGTGGCAATGGAAGCAAGACAGCTGGCCCTAAATGGCATGTTTTGTCTGCTGTGTAAGTTTTATCTGATTACATTTTGATTGATTATTCGATTATGGTTTCGTAACAATGCTTGTAATTACTTACGCGCAGTTGCTCTAAGTCGTTAACCGCCTGTCGGAACAAATTACAATCGCCGGCAACTTTGTCCACGCCGTTTACTCTGAGAACAGAAGAAAGGGCAGCAAAACGAAAACAGGCAAGATTCTTATCTCTTGCAGTTTTAATTAAAGCTAGCTCATCGTCTAATTTTTTAATTAATTTTTTTGTTTGGCCGATACTTTTTAGAAACTCGAGGAAAAATTCAATGCGGATGAGGTACAGAAGAAGGCTCCCACGCATCAACAGAAAACATTGAAGGTATGTTTGTTTCATGAGAAATATGTAGCGGATTTCGTGTAATAAGCTTACGATTTTGACGGGACCTCGTTTTTCGTTTTTTTTGGTGTGCAGGAGAAAGCTGGAAATGAAATTAGGAAACTGAGTTACAGCTTTTGCTTCAAAGCTCGCCCGTTGCCCGATTTCTACAAGGAAAGAGAAACCTCGATCAATCACGTTAAGAAGGTAATAACATCCTAGAAAGTGCATCGTTTTTGTTTAAAGAACTTTGCGTTTTGCCTTTTATATAAACACATTTAATTTTCGATGTGCAGATTCCAACTGTCAAATCACAGACAGCAGTACTAGGAAGAAACATTTCGAACAAGAAAGAAGTTGGCACTGTCTCAATGCCGCCTCCACCTCCGCCTCCTAAACCGTTGGCCAAGAACGGTGCTCACAAGAATATTCCATCCAACAAGAATATTCCGTCCAAAACGAACGCTGTGAAAGCAAGTAAATCTCTTAATACACCGTTATCTGAAAGAAATGCTCGTGAGAACAAGTCTCCAAATATTCAGCATTGAACAGAGCAGCAACGATCAAATGTCCGTTTGAATTGATTACAGGAGATATCGTATACATCTTCCATATTTGTATTCAAGAATTCATGTAATTCCATTGTTTCTTTTCATTTGCGGTTTTTGGTTTTGGTTTTTGGTTTACACGATGATTTCGTAAATACTCATAGCTACAGTTGGGCATGGAAATTGATTGAAATTTCCAGAATTCGACCAATTCAGATCCAAAAAATTTCAATTTTCAAATATGTTTCTTCATTCAAATTTCCATTTTTTTTGGAACGGAATCGGAATTAATTTTTCCATACGACTTCCTCGGTATATTCTAATATTTGAAGCATAGTCTACAATATGAATATATGATATATACACCAACAAAACATAGTTTATTACAACACATAAGAAGTTCATTCATCTAAAATTACAATTGTAATTCAAGAAATCAATTAATACAAATTTATTAGCAGTTGCCACATAAGTTTTGGCATCTTCACAAGCAATCATGAGGGAATATACAGACAAATTCATTAGTAGTAGTTGAAATTTTGTAATAATAAAATCACATTTCTTCAACCAAACACCAACTCTCATCTCCATCAACAGGCCCCCAATTAAATCCCACCTCATAGAAACTCATGACATCATCATCCTCGTCATCATCATCATCGTTGTCAACATCAAGAACAACCGCACGAATACCAACATCAACTAATCCTTCGATCTCAAAAACATCGGTCGAAGAAATTTCAATTTCTTGATCATAATCAACATCAATATCAGCATCAATATCAATATCAATATCATCAGCATCAACATCAACATCAACATCGTACTTGTCTAAATAGTCAACAACACCACTCGCGGAAACGCCGGTCAATTTGAATCTACTACCCGACACAATCTCGGACGAAGACCGTACCTTGTGGGCCCCCTTGACCTTGTCCTTAGACTTCGCCGGCGGGCAATCATGGCATCCGCGGCACTTCGGCCGGCCGCACTTTCCGGTGAACTTTGAGTGGTTGGTCGGCTTGGATGAAACCCGTGTGAAGAGGCCGGCGGTTGGGGGTGAGCCGAGCTGGTTAGCGTTCCTAGGCTTCGGGCGTGGGTCCCACGGAGCCGACGCGGCGAGGTATGTTCGGACCATGCCATGTTGACGACTTTCTCTCTTCATTGTCGGTTATTTTTCTTGAGCTAAAAAAAATGGATAGAGATAAAAATACAATGAAATTGCTTTCCACCATTAAATAGAAGTATTGAAGCTTTCTCATTTTGGCAAGCAAGAATTTTATTAGTCAACAACTCTCTATATCTATATATATATATATATATATATATATATATATATATATATATATATATATATATATATATATATATATAGTATATATATATTAAAGAGAAACTTGACTGTAATGACTGATTATGGGACATGAATTAAGAATGACATTAAATCTTCCTTCTGAATAAAGTATTAAATCTTCCTTCTGAATAAATTACATCGCTATCCCTATATAATAGGTCTAATTATACTTAGTCTTTATCGAATTTGGAATATTATCTAAAAATACCCATTTAAAATTATTTTTGACAGGATTTCTAATTTTCACCTTATACTTTAATTTACTCATTTTGATTTGAGTTCTTTAGTAAGTTTTAATTGCTTGAGAAGAAAGAAACCTGCACGTATAAGTTTTTTCAATCTTGAAAAATTCTTAGTAAATTGCTTATAATTTCAGCCTTTTAATTTCCACCATATTTTTCATAACTTACGTACAAGCAAGTACAAATTCAAGACCCTTTCCTTCTCCATCTCTTTTTCAACTTCGTCGAATTTTTCGGAAAAAAAAAATCGGTCATGATTCAAAGATCGAATAATGAAAGTAGAGCAGCAAATGCAACATTTGAAGGAGCTTTCTTTATATGATCTTCATGGTATGTCTGAGTCCTGTCGATTCTGCATTTGTTTCGTATAGTACAAATAACATGGTACAAATATCCCAGTCAGCTAACTCAAATTCTAAACTTATTTTTTTACATATCTATCAACTTATAAATCGCAATATCGGCTTTTTTTTCTTATTAGCAGAGGTTTCGGAGTAGTGGCTCGTTGCTTACCTCAGCAGGGTTCGGAGGAGAAACCGCCTTTTTGTTGCGATATAGCACATAATGCTGAAACATGAAAAGAATATCGAAGAAAATCGACACCTGCAATACAAAACCATTGTGTATCACATTTAATTTATCCGGATATATATGTGTGTGTATATATATATATATATATATATATATATATATATATATATATATATATATATATATATATATATATATAAAACAAAGTTTATACTGTATTGAGAAAATACAAATGACAGCGTTTCGTACCAAAGATATCATAGTCTTTCCTATGTTCCCGTAGAAGTTCACCCATGAATCTGTCAAAGCAGAGTTTGCATTAGGACACATGTATATATATATAAACCGGTATATGTATATGGTGAAGAAACTCACTTTGATCAATGGATTGCACAGCCATTTGACCGTAATTAGTTACGCCACCAAGAAAATCGAGCAAGATGTTGCCAATGCTAAACCCAATCGTGCTTTTCCGTTGGAAGTTTAAGATGGCCTAAATTAAATAATTAGAATTGAATATTAGATCATCAAATATATATATATATATACACACACACGCAATGCAATCAAGAAATAGATTAACTCGATCTAAAATAGCTACACGAGACATAATTCAGAACCCCACCTGAGGAATGTACTTGATTATCGTCATAACAACCTGAATATCGCTGCACCAAATAAATAAATAAATAAATAAAATCGTTGTAGTTATTAAGGAATAAATAAATACGAAGGCGACACTACTCATTTTTTCGAGAAAGGAATCATCTTACCTAAAGCAGGAAATTAGCCATAACCAGGAATGTTTCGGTATAGCTATGAACACACAAACAGCAGCAGCTAACCAGGCCACCGAAACAATTCCTATTGAAATTCTCGATACTTTTTGGTTCCCACGCTGTGAAAAATAATCAAAATCGGAAAAATAATTAGAACATTCTTGAAATCATTTTTTTTTTGGGCATTCATGTATAGTTAATTACATCTCCCCTCGATTTGCAAATCAGGAAAATCGAAACGAACCCACAATTAATCTAATCCAATAATGCTTGATCTTAAAATGAACTAGTAAAACAAGTTATTGGAAATAGTGAATTCTTACATCGTAAATTGCAATCTGTAACAAGGTGAAAGCAGTTAATAGTACAGCATGTATGGAGAAAGCCACATCATTAGCAGCAACCGGTATCATCTGCAATTAAATAAATTACACACAATTTAATCTCGTTTTCTTCGAAAAAATTACGAAAACTAAACAACACATGAAAAAAAAGAAGCAGTTTCTTAGTTCATCAAAAAAATCTTGCAAAAATAAAATAAATAAAGAGAAACCTCATTAGAACCGAATTTGCTGCGGTACTGTGTCTGAACAGCTGAGCTAAAGAAGAGGGAAGCGTTGTAAATGAGATACGAAGAGTGCTTCGTCAAATTCAACACTACGAAATCGAAATTCAACCCAACCACACTGCCAATAAATTAAACAAAACCCCATTATAAAAATCATTAATTCTTGCAATAATAAAACAATTGGAAAAAAAAAAAAGGACAAACCTTTTTCTTCGGAAATTTAAGAAAACTTGAGGGTAGAAACTGATGGACCAAGAAACGAAAGCAACCCATCCCAAAACAGTGTACAGAACCTCAAGCTGAACTGAATTCCAAGAACCCATCTTTTTTTTCGTTTGTTTTTCAGAGATAAAAAATAAAATTTGCTGCGATATAACGAAATCAGGTTAAATGGAGGGTCCGACAAGGTTCAAACGGGTCATTCCTCTGACACAAAGGATAACAAACAACCAGTCTCGAAACTGAATGGATCTGAGAAGCGGCGGATGGGCCCCATATATACGGTTATCCGGGTCATGAATCTGACCGCTTTGTCGTCCTTATTCATATCATGGCAACGGATTTCCGTTGATCTCTGAAATGACTGAAATCCGCTGAATTCAGAGTCTTGATTACACATTTAAGATTGAATTGATTTGATTTTGACATTTTTTTAGAAATTTAAGCTAACACTTACAAAACTAGCACGTTTTATTTTAGGTTTTTTTTTTTTTTTTTTTTTTAACTTATAGAATCCTTCAATTTTGGACGAAATAATTGTTAATTTACTTATCAAAACCGGTTAATTCTATGCTACACCTGAAAATGTTACATCTGAAATTTTTTCTACCGCGGCAACAATGTACAGTGAAACCTCCTTAAATTAATACAGTCGAGATTAACAAAACTTTATTAATTTAATGAAATATAAAATTATCAAACTAATAATTTAATACGTTTTTACCGAGTTGGGACCGGAAGAAAGTATTATTTAAGCGAGGTTATTAATTTATCGAGAATCTTCGATAGACGAGGGCGTGCAGGGGCGGACCCATATTGGGGTGGGCTCCCGGGAAAAAATATTACATTTTTATTTAATTTCATATCTATATGTTATTTTATAGACTTTCGTCTCCCAAAGATTATTTTTATGTAAGTAAAAAACTTTTTTTATTTCTTATGACCCCATAATCTATCCACCCAACAAAAAACCCCTCGATTCGCCCCTGGGTGTGTGCATGCTTATGTGCATATTAATAGTAAAGATTTACTCGTCGTATTTCACCATGTGTACCGTAGTATAGACTATAGACCCTGAAAACTGATACCATATAACATTGATTTCAAGAATCATAGGAGAATCCAAATAGAATATATAGCTAAATGAAACACATAAGAAACCTCAAACATGTCCAAGTTTACACAAAAGAAAATCACATGCCAAGCACGACGACGAAGCACATCCAAATTTCCGTTGCTAGAAATAATAGAGGACGGGTTATGATGTATGTATTATTTTCGAACTAGAGCGCCTTTCCTAAGGTATAAAATCTGATCAAATTTGCAAATAAAAAATTACATTATTGCCACAAAATAATATCAATACTTGAAAAACCAATAATTTAAGAAATCAAGAAGATGTGAGCTCGAGTTTCTTGATATTCTGGATCTGCATTCCAGGATTGAGTCCCTTGGGGCAAGCTTTAGCACAATTCAATATGGTGTGGCACCGGTACAGCTTGAACTCGTCGTTTACAGCATCCAACCTCTCCTTTGTGTACTCATCTCGACTGTCCATTATCCATCTGCATTCACAATATTATATAAATTACAACTTCTTCACTTTTGAAAAATCAAATTTTATCTCGTATTAGCCGTCAGCACAAGAGTGCATATCAAATATTACATAAAAGATTGTCTCAGCGAGAATCTGGAAGATCGAACATGCATTCAGAGTATAAAATCAGGCAGGGAATAACTTAGCTTCCAAAGCGCATCAACATCAACAATTTAGAACAAATTTTTTTTTTCAGCGTTAGATGCATGCTCCTAGAAGGCACATTCCTTATATAGATAGAATAGGGTATTGCTCATTTTGTGACCATCGATCAGCCCGTAGTTTGTATTTCTTTTGCATTACTACTAAATAAAATGGTTACACCAAAAAAAAAAAAAAAGCGATCGTCTTTGTCCCCCCAAACACCTCCATATCACATACCTCACAGAGACTATAGATATCGTAAAAATCACCATTAATCTCAAGAGTTTCTGATGCACCTTAAAATAGATAAGAGTTTTTATTATACAGCAAGTAATTTTGCACAAGCAGGGGCTCATGGAACACTCAGCCACTTTGACTAGCTTTCATGAAATCTTTGCTACGATTTAACATTTACAACAACTATAACCGTGGCACGAGTGAAAGGGAATCCACACCTGGATAATTTCTGAATTTATGATGCGCACAAACTTAGGAGTAGAGAAAAGAAACGGAAAGCAAGAAAGTGACAATGGAAGGAGGAATTTTTTTTCGAAACGAAACTCTAACCAAATGATCATCACAATAAGGTCATACGATCTTTATCGCTTTTCGTCCATTAACAACTGATGACAGGACTTATCTCTGCCAAAAATATGAATTCATAGCTGGTTCAATTCTGATTCCCAATCTAGCCTAAGAAAGCTGATAGATACATCAACTCTTCTTTTCGAGTGAATTTCTAGAGTTCGGGGCTAATTCCTAAGAGTAGAACGATGCATAGGCAAACCGGCAATGAATAATGAGAATAAAACTGAACATGATATAGCATCATAAAACAGATAAAATCGATCGAAACTCCAATATATTTCACATTAATCAAATTCCACAAACCTCACAATTGAATGATAAAATATACACATAAATAAAATAACAGAGAACAGAAGGAAATACCTGTTGGCGTGCAAAAGAGCAGCCGGACCCAAATAAGACTCAGGGTTCCACCAGTAACTAGGGCAGGATGTGCTACAGCAGGCACACAGTATGCACTCGTACATCCCATCAAGCTTCTTCCTGTCATCCTTGCTCTGCAGAATCTCCTTCGCCGGAGTCTCCGCCGGCGTCTTCCTCTTCAGCCACGGCTCAATCGACTTGTACTGGTTGTAGAAATTCGTCATATCCACCACCAAATCCTTAATCACGAACATGTGCGGCAGAGGCGTGACCATCGTTGGGCCGCCCGAGGGTATTTTCGTCAGACAGGCTAAACCGTTCCGGCCGTCGATGTTCATCGCGCAGGAGCCGCAGATTCCCTCGCGGCAGGATCGGCGGAAGGTCAGGGATGGATCGATCTCGTTTTTTATCTTGATTAGGGCGTCGAGCACCATCGGACCGCATTCCTTGAGGTCGATATCGTAGTCCTTGAGCTCTGGTTTCTGCGTCGAATCGGGGTTCCATCGGTAGATTTGGAAGGTCTTCGGTGTGGAGGTGGTTTTCGCCTTCGGCTCCACCTGCTGCGCCTCCGCCTCGGATGCGTGGGATCGGTAAATTATGGCTCTCGCCGCCGGGGAAACGGACGGAACCCTAGATAACGCTCGTCGGACCAATCCAGTCGCCATTGATCGGAAAAACAAGAGAGAGAAACGCTGCTGTGTCCTTGTAGAGAGAGAAAGTAGGAATTATAAATAAACGATGATGATAGAATTTGGGCGTGTGTATCCCTTGCTACTTTTTTGTCAGGGCAAATGACGGAAATGGGTTTGGGTGGTCATATTGAAGGGTGAGGCGGTTAACGCGATTGACGAAGGGTATTTTGGGGAAACCATAGTTTAGATGGCTGCCGTGGATGCATTGGTCTCCGTTGGTGACGTGGCATGATATGAGCGGCGGAGATGGGAATCGGGCAACGTGGTTGGCTCGTCCAACATTTGTTTTTAGTCCCGTGTTTGTGTTATTTGGGCATGAAACGTCGCCGTTTGGCGGATGCTTAACATGAGTCCTTGTCGATTTGATTTTCTCTTTTATCCTTTTATATTACTGAAATGCTATTCATAGAACAACTTTTACCGGCTTGCAGTGCGACTTTATTTCATTTGTAATTTTTCTTAAGAAAATTCAAAATTCTCTCAAACCCTATCCAAGGTTCTTCGAGTTCTTGCGGATTAAACGAGCAATTCAACAACGATTAAGGTAAAATTCGAACTCGAAATCATTGACCCAATGTTTTTATAGTAGTATATTAACAAATTTCGTCGAAAATCTATACGTTTTGAGTATTTTGATTATGTTCGAAAGTTTTCGGAAATAAACTTACATTTCGTGTAGAAACTCACGAAATGAAGGGGCTAATTTCGTGAGTTTGTACACGAAATAGACGTATTTGTTTGTTTTTCTTACGTTTCGTGAAGATTTATTTTATTTATTATTATTATTTAGACTGATGTTAATAGTGTTTTATTTAACAGATGACAGGCAAAGGGAAATCAAGTGCAATTATGCGAGCAGTTCGTGAAGAGGCTGAACATCAAGAGCGCGAGCGCGAGCGCATGACTATGTCTACACGACGTAGGCGAGAGGCTGAGAGAGCTGGTGAAGCCAGGTCATCAGTTCCACATCCCGATGTTGGGTCTTCTCGTGCTATGGAGAAGGAGGAATATGTGGCCCCCGTTCACGAGACTGAGGTTGTAGGTCGTGGAGGTCGTAGAGGTCGTGGAGGCCGAGGACGGGGCCGTGGAGGTCGACCTTATACTCGAGTCAATCCGGATGTGCTAGATGGTCCATTTCCCGGTGGCCCGCGGGATCCGTCTTTGATACCGAGTTTCAAGTCGCACGTAGCGGCATATATTTGGAGGGGAGAAGTAAGTTAATTACTTGTTTTAATTTTAATATTATAATTTTTGTATCTTCTATTAAAATATTTTTATAGTTGATTAATTAATATGTTTTCTAAATAAATGATTGCAGGAACGTCCGGTTGGACGAGTGGAGTCCCGTATCAACTCCCTGAACCAATTCAACTACGAGAAGATAGCAGATGCCCTAGAAGACGTAGATGTATCCGTAGACAAGCATTTTCTGCGGATGACCGGTTTGTATCCCCTAGCCCGATGTCATTTACAGGGCCTAGATATTCCGCTGTTGTTTGCATTCGTGGAGCGGTGGCAGCCGGAGACGAACAGCTTCCATATGCCGTGGGGAGAGATGACTATCACTCTCCACGATGTCCAGATGATTCTAGGTGCCAATGTGGAGGGACGGGTGGTCGCGCCTAGGTACGACGATGCCACCGAGCGGATAAACTGCGTGTATTTGCTGTCTGAGGCCTTAAACCTCGAGTTTGAGGAGATTGACGAGTCGTGGAAGCATGGGGGCCCCACATGGAGGATGTTACAGGGACAGTTGTTGATGCCCGACACGCCCATGAGACGCCGAGTTCAGATATACCTGGTGTTTCTCCTCGGATCGATTTTATTCCCCGACAAGACATGTGATCGGGTGAAACCGTGGTATATGCACGTGCTCGAGGATTCAGTGCTTGATCAGGTCGGCACGTATTCGTGGGGTTCGGCCTGTTTGGCCAATCTATACAGAGAGTTGGGTATATGCAGCCGAGCACAGTCGAGGGGCTTGGCGGGTTGCACCACCCTTCTTCAGGTAAACTTTAATATATTTGGAACTTATTTTGTTCATTTTAATATATTTTAATAAATTTTAATATCTTTAAATAAAATATTTGCAGTGCTGGATATACGAGTATTTCCCGAGATTCCAGCCGCCGGATGAGAGCGAGCGCTACCGCGAGTTTCAGCCTCGATGCAAGAGGTGGAACGCGCCACCAAAAGCGGGCACGCTCGAGCATATTCGAGGTTTACTCGATAATATGACAGCGGATGATGTAAGTCTTTTATATTTATGTATTTATATTTTTTGAAATATGAATTTTTCGACATGAATTTTAATTATGAATTTTTTGATTTAAATATGTCTTGTAGTTTGTTTAAATATGAATTTTTTGATTTATGTATTTATATTGTTTTCTGTTTAGGTCGAGTGGCTACCGTATGGTCGGGATATACACGAGAGTATCCCTCGTACGTTGTATCATGGCACGATCCAGTACATGTGGGTCGTAGAGCCGTATATGCCTGATCGTTGCGTCCGACAGTTTGGATGGGTTCAGGATATACCACGCGGCTTGATTCCGTCGATGGAGCCATGTTCACGCGGTCCCAAAGGAGGTACATCGTACAAAGTCAACTACCCATTTCCGGGTGGGATGTGGGACATGGTCCAGGCTCATTCCATTCATGCCCGCGCATACAAGACGGCACGACAACGGGGGGAAGTCGACGAGCACTACATGGAGTGGTACACCGATCGGACTCATCCGAAGATCAACAACCCCGACGTAGGCCCGGCTCCAGTGCATCGAGAGAATGTGAGGCCACCAGATCAGCCGGCTTTTTACCAGGTAGTACGTGCCCTGTACCCGATCACCAGGAGCACTGGACAGGACTGGATGCAGCAGTTTGCCGATCTACGTGCCGATCTTGGAGATATTATGCAGCCCGCCGCCCGATATCTTGGCATCGACCGTGACAACGACGACGACGATGACGACGACGACGATCATGAGGTGCAGCCGCCGAGGAGAGCGAGGCGGTAGTTTATCGGTTTTTTTTGCCAGTTATATATTTTTATGAACTATTTAATTTTAAAGTTTATTTTTATTATTATTAGGACTATGCATTTTTATTATTGTTAGGAACTATTTAATTTAATAATTTATTTTAATTTTTAATTAGGAACTAATTATTTTACTAATTTTGTTTATTATTATTACGAACTATTTAATTTACTAGTTTGTTGTTTTGTATTTTAATTCACTAGTTTTATTATTTGAATTTAGAAACTACGTACAACTGAAGCAATTAAAGTACATATTTAAACAACCTTACAAACAATCTTACAAATTTAATACATTCCAAAAACATAGATTAAACATATAAAATGCAAAACACAACGCTACAAATTTAAATATTCCAAAACATAAGTTTGAATGCAAAATTAAAACAAATATAAATTTAAACATAAGTTAAACTTTCAAATACCCGGCAGATGGTTATGATTACCATTACTCACACTCAATCGCCATAATCCATCCTCCGTTGATTTTTTGCCAATTAACCTGAACGGACAAGAACGTTTCTTCAATAGTCCGTGTCGTCCAGATTGATATCTTGCACACGTTAAAACATGATAGTTTTCTGATTTACAATGATTAATCAGTTGATGATTATGACTAATTGCTGTGTCTTTTGCCCACATAATTAACGCTTCTCTACTATCACACACAATACCACGTTCAAAAATGTGACTATGATCGTGAGATTGTTCTCTTAGTTCCTGCATAAATATTTAAAATTAAAAGACAATATTTAAGGGATTTCGTAGAAAAACCTACGAAATGTAGCCTACATTTCGTGTAAACACACACGAAATAATAGCTTCCATTTCGTAGGTTTTACCACGAAATGTAAGCTTCCATTTCGTGTGATTGTATACGAAACAAACAACTAACGATTTTAAGACATATTTCGTATAGTATTACACGAAATGAAAGCATATATTTCGTGTGTTATGACACGAAATCGCTAAAAACGTTGGAAACGAACAAAAAACGTGTATTTTCACCTCAAAATCGAAGTCGTTGTCATCCATGTCGATAATACTTGTGCTCTAACTGATATTGGTCGAAAAAATACTAAAATTGATAAATTTTAAGAATAAAAGGTTGAGAGTGTTTGAGAGGGTATTTGGATAAGATTTGGAAAAGAAAAAAAAAATGAATTATTTTGCACTGCGAGTGGTAAAAATCGCACTGATAATAGCAAGCCCCTTTATATTATTAAGGTATACAAAATTAATTTTGATTTTTCCTATAGACAAATACTTTTTTATATATATTTGTTTGGTCTTTCCTTCTTTTTCAAAATTCAAATCATGTTAGAAATACATAGGGGAGCAGACTTATAGTTCCATTAACGAGAAAAATTAGAAATTACAATGTTATATATGAAATCTGGGAGAACATCAACGGTAAAAGTCGACATAAGGGACAATTTTGCGATTTCACGGGCAGCACGGTTACCTTCCATTTTGATATGGCAAACTTTGAAGTCTTCAAATATGGATGAGAGCCTTTTGATATCGTCGATGAAGTGAACCAACAACTTAATCAAATGTGTGAATGAATAATGATGTAAATCGAAAACCGAATACTGTATAATTATAGATTATAAATATAAAAAATTAACATTATTACATTATAATAAACCGAAACTGAAACCGAAACCGAATAGACTCAAACGAAGCCCAAGAGATATATTTTAATGAGTCTAAAGCCCATTGAGTTTGTCTGGGCCTTGGGCTAAGCTTATTAACTTTGATTTGCTTAAGCTCATCTAACCTTTACAATTTTCATTTCATTTTCTTTTTTGATTTAATTAATTAGTAGAAAAACAAAGTCAACAATAAAAAAGGAGGACCATTAATTAGAAAACATGTTTATCCAATATAAAAAAAAAAAAAAAAAAAAAAAAAAAAAAAAAAAAACGTGATGTTTATCCATCCATTTGCAGAGCTGTGTGTTAGAGAAACTATAAAATAGAATAAAAATGTAATCAGAGAGTGGATGTGTGAATTAGTTGGATGCTACGTCCATTGTTATCATTCTTCTTCTTCTCCATCCTAAAATCTCGTTCTCAATTCCCCTCTCTCTCTCTCCTCTCTTTCTCTCTCTAAAAAAGATAGCTCATTTTTTTCTTTTTATATTCCATCTGACTCCAAAGGCCAAATTAATCTGCAAATTGTTTTATGGCAACAGTAAGGCTCAATTGTAATGTCTTTTTTGTTGCAATACATATTGGCATTTAATTTGTTTTGGATATTAATTTAATTGAAAATTGAAAATTTAGGGATTTTCTGATAAATTCTGTAGCAGGAGAAAGGTCGGCCATTGCCGAAATTTGGGGAGTGGGACGTGAACAACCCAGCCTCCGCCGACGGATTCACGGTCATCTTCGCCAAAGCTAGGGATGAAAAAAACTCCGGTTCCACGGCGGCGAATGGTGCTCAGCCACCATTGAACGGCGGATCGCCGTCGCAACAGAGCCACGATCCTCCTAAGGTCTCTCTCTTTTCCTTTTTCGATTTTTAATTAACCAATTGTAAATTGCTTACCCATGCCTGAATTATTTGACGAATTTGATGCAGAAAAGTTGGCTGTGCTGTTTCTGAAGAAAATATAGTTTTGAAGCTGACGAATCGGGTCAGGATGTAAGAGAATGAACGGGTTTGGGTCTCACGAAACGGGTACGTAAACAGCAAATTGGGGAAAGGTTGTTGAGGATTTGTAGATGTGAATTATGGGAATTTGACAAAGATTTATTGCTAAACAACTATTGATTGATTGATGATTGATGATGATGATAGAGCAAATATGCAGTGTAAATTAGGACTTTTTAACTAGTCTCCATCCCAACAATTTCTAATTTATTTCAAGAAATTATTTTTTAATTTGATCCGATTTGTTTGAATATGTTATTGCATATGAAATGTCGGTTTTGTAGATGCTCAATGAAATTTATCGGGTGATTCTGCGCCATTAATCTACATATAACAGCACATTATATGCGTGTGCATGTGTAACATTTCATAGACCTGATATGACCGTCGTAAAAAAATATCAGAAAAATATATATAGCGTAATTAGTTTCCATTTGAATAGTAAAAATTAAAGCCCATTTGAACCATGGCATGAAAAAAGCCAATGTTGATTGATACAACTTATTGTAAAATAACTAATTATTTAAGCCTCACATTAAGATTTCACCTTTTTTGTGTGAAAATTTTAAGGATTTTTTTAAAATATATTAGATAACAAATTTAAAATAAGTAGATTTGTTTTTACATGAAATTCATATAAAACAAGCCAGCCACCCTAAAATACTATATTCAACACAATGTCAATAAAAATAAAAAAAAAAAAAAAAAAAAAAAAAAAAAAAAAAAAACGACTGATGAAATCCTAAATGTAAAAGGCTAAAGAAGGTAAGCAAACTGAAAAGCAACTAATAATACAAATAGTGCATACGAGAAGAAGGCATTGTTTGGAGCATGTGAGGTTCCACCGGGAGCTTCCTGCGCTATCACCCACACGATCATACGCTGCCCTTTCTCACAGTGCCCGGTGGCTCCACTTATGAAGTAGAAAAAACCGGACCGGTCCAGCGTGACTGCTGTGTTACCCGAGTTGGAAAAGAAATCAGGGCGCGTTGAGTTGCACTCGTTGTAGTCTTGCTTGTTCACCTTCATCACCGAATCCTTCTTGTACTTGAATACTAAACAAAATCGAAAATTAATCATTTCTGAAATTAAAAAAAATGTTTTATAACTAAGGATCGGAATTTGTTAGGAGGTGTTTAGTACTTACTAATGGTGTCACTAATCTTGAACCTCTTTTTGGAAGCCCATTGGTTGTACACTTCGGTTTCGTTTTCGCGAGGTACAACCCAACCCGCTCGCTCCCCGACTTCAAACTCAGAGCAACGAACGCACTGCAACAGTTGAAGGAAACACAAAGTCGTGGTTGCAGCGAGCAGAAAGCGTGCTTTGGACGACGCCATTGTTGCGAAATGGAAGCTTAGTTGATAAATTTTTAACGGAGTTATTGAAACGGAAATGGGGTTAATTAAGAAGTGATTAGTGATTAAATAGTGGTGCGGTAATTTGCAGTTAACGAGTAGTAGTTATAAGTGGGGTGGTGAACGTGAATGTGATTATGGGATTAGTGGGAAATAACGGTCAGAACAGCTTAATTTCGAGCTCTAATTTTTAATTGGGCTTAACTAATGGGCCATTAAGAATTATAAGCCCAAATTTAGATTATAACTATTATGTAAACAAATTTTGTATGGCCCAATTTAGGCCCATGGAAAAGAAAATTTATCAATTGTTCGTACATGATATTGTATTTTATTTTAGATTTTATTAATATAAATTAGATGTATAAAAATTTATATCACATAGTCGTAAATGATAATATTATTATTGATAAAAGATCCAATTAGTTAAAGGCACATCATTTATTTTTAAGAGTTTAGTACAACACTAGAGAGGGATTAGGGGGTTATATATCTTTTTCAATAGGTGTCATTTAATTAAGGATGTGATAAATGTTGTTTCAGTTTTAATAATATCATTGCACCCTTCAAACGGGATTTTGATCATTTTTCAGTCCGAGTTAGGCAAAAATCGAAATTAAAAAAATTGTAGCTATTTGAGTTGGATTTGTAATCCAACTTAAATTACTAAGATTGGATATCAAATGAGAAAGTTATTCATGAATCAATGAACACTGCGCACAAATTTGATAATTTGAGTGATCTAAAATTCAAAACGTAACTAATTCATGCTTAACTTTGTCACCCGACATCCAAATTAGCTGACTCGTGTTGAATTAGAAAGCTAACACAAATGGCTACAATTTCTTGTTTTATTTTTTGCTGAAGTTGGACTAGAAAATAGTAAAAATCTCGATCTAAGTTAAAACAGTATTAGTAAGATACAAACGACATTTAACATTTCAATTTTATAAACTTGTTACTAAAAAAATAATTGAAGTGGTATTGCAATTTCCAATTGTAGTGGAAAATGCAATTTCCACCTCCATAAATTAATGAAAAGTGAGTAGTTAGTTAGTTGGTGTAATTAATTCAACGATGTCGTCACTCAATGTTCTTAAACCCAACAGAAACGCGTTAGTTGCAAAAGTACGATTTTAAGGTTTACCTAATTTCTGCTCATCTCTTTCAACTAACCTCTCATCTAAAATTCCAGCCGCCGGCTGCACGCAGCTTCATTAATTGTTCTTAAAGGTTAAATTACAATAACCCCTTGAGGTAAAATCTATTTACGAAACCCCCACTCATGTTTACATAATTACATTCAACCATTTTGTAATTTGTAGATTTCTTACATTAACGCCCTTTTGCAGGGTGTGTATGTAAGAAATTTATAAACTACCGGGGGTCTGGATTTAACAAAATAAGGGGGCTTTTGTAATTATAGTTTACATCAGGGGAGGTGGTTGTAATTTATCCGTACTTAAATAAATAAATGCCACCAAACTGTTTTCTCCTCACCACTCACTAGTATTATTCTCTCTTCGCATTAATTAAATATTCAAAATAAAATATATACTCACTACAATGTACGAAGAAAATAAAATTTTGGGTAAATATCACTTAATCCCCGTGTGGTTGCAAACTTTTGCAGATGACCCCTTATGCTCGTAATATGATCAACATATAACCTCTTGTAGTTTATGTGGTAGCTTCGGTTAGTTTTTCCGTCAAGTTTAACCGCGTGTATCAAACTTTAAGGGGGCCGTCTGAAAAAATGAAAGGGAAAATGAAAGCGCAAGGGGTTCATTTGCAAAAAGATACTTTCACGTTCGACACATACGGTTAAATTAGACGGAAAAACTAACGGAAGCTAACCTCAACAATCACAGTGGAGTTATGTGCTGATATTACAAGGACAAGGGGTCATTTGCAAAAGTTTGTAACCAAAAGGGTGTTAAGTGCTATTTACCAATTTTTGTAATAATTTGATAAAATTACCGTTTTGTCCCTCCTTCCATCTATATATAACAGCTATTTTAAGGTGCAGAAAAATATTAATTTCTTCAGTCATGGCGGAGTGCATCTTAGAGCAGCTAAAATCTCAGCCCTTATGGCTTCTCCTCCCACTATCACTCGGCCTCTTCTCTCTCCTCAAACTCTCACTCTAAATTCTCAAATGGTTCTACATCAATTTCATCCGACCCGGAAAAAACCTCAAGAAATACGGGTCATGGGCTCTAATCACGGGCCCCACCGACGGCATCGGAAAAGCCTTCGCTTTCCAGCTGGCCAAAAAGGGGCTCAACTTGATTTTAGTCGGGCGGAACCCTAGCAAGCTGGACGAAGTATCCGAATCAATCAAGTCCAAATACGGGTCGTCGACCCAGATCAAACAAGTGGTGGTGGATTTTTCCGGCGACTTGGACGACGGCGTTTCGAGGATCAAGGAGGCCGTTCGAGGAGCAGACGTCGGCGTTCTGATCAACAACGTCGGCGTTTCGTACCCGTACGCCAGATTCTTCCACGAGGTGGATGAGAAATTGCTGAGCGATTTGATTAGGGTTAATGTCGAGGGTACGACGAAAGTTACTCAGGCTGTTTTGCCTGGCATGGTGGAGAGGAAGAGAGGGGCGATTGTGAATATTGGATCTGGCGCCGCCATTGTTATTCCTTCCGATCCTCTTTACTCTGTTTATGCTGCAACCAAAGCGTGAGTACTCTTTTAATTACTTTTACAGTTAACAAAATTCTATTAATTTAGTGAAATATTAAATTATCGAACTAATAATTTAATACGTTTATTACGAGTTTATTACGAGTTGGGACTAGAGAAATTATTATTTCAGCGAGAATATTAATTTATCCAGGTATATATGTGTGTGTATATATATATATATACACACACACGTCAGAAGCTATGCTACACTGGTTAGATCTTTATCATACATCTAGACACCAACATGGATGTGTGTGTGTGTGTGTGTGTGTGTGTGTGTGTGTGTGTGTGTGTGTGTGTGTGTGTGTGTGTGTGTGAATGAATGGTGAAGATGTAACCGGTGCAGCATGGAATATTTACCGATGATTAGTATGATTCTTGAAGGGTTTTAACTATCTTTCTTTAAGGTGTGTTTTATCCCGGTCCCGGTCTTGTAGATGATATAATATACATGGTTAAATACACCGGGTAGTGTATCTACACACAATCACACACTCATACACGTGGATGTGTGTAAAATCGATAGTTATATAAATACACGTGTCTGGTGATATCTTACCTAGTATGTTGTAATAATAGATTGTTATATATACGCGTATTATGGTGAGATCTTACCTAGTAAATTAAAACGACGGTTGTTCGAAATTTTCAGATATGTCGACCAGTTCTCAAGGGGCCTCTATGTCGAATACAAGAAGAGTGGTATTGATGTGCAATGCCAGGTATCATATTTTATTTCATAGTTAGTCTTGAATCGTGAAATTTAATCGGATTTTTAATCGTTGGATTTGTTTCTTCATTATGCATAAAACTGCTCTACTTGACCGTATGTAGGTACCTTTATACGTAGCAACAAAGATGGCTTCGATCAGACGGTCCTCATTCTTTGTCCCATCAACAGACGGGTATGCTCGATCTGCCCTGCGCTCAATTGGGTACGAGCCTCGCTGCACACCTTACTGGCCCCACACACTTCTATGGGCATTAGCGAGTTCTTTGCCAGAATCGTTCGTTGATGCCTGGCGCTTTAAATTTTGCCTTGGAATTAGGAAAAAGGGCCAACTCAAGGACTCGAGGAAGAACGAATAAATAAATGTTTTATATATGTTGCTTTTAAACTTTGCTACTCGAATGTAACGGCAGAGGAGATCAATTTGTGTAATTCAAGTTCCATGCATAGTTCGTGTTTGCAATAGTTTGTTAGTTTTATTTATTTTTTCTTGCTCGGCAACCATCGGTGGAAATAGGAACAGAATTTTCGATTTCCGATTTGAAACATTATTATTCCAATTTTTTTTAATTGGAATTAGAATATGGATGAGACTCTGATCTGATTTAAATTTCCGAAAAATTATCCCAAAAATGCAGACTTTTTCCCCCCGAAAACTACACCTATAATATCAAATTACAACCACTCCTTGAGGTATGGTCAAATTATGAAAACCCTCCTCATGTTTGGGTAATTACAACCACCCTTCAACTATAAATTTTCTTACACGGCCACTCTTGCGGTTTCAAATTTAGTGGAATCTTCGAGATTATATGGTATATTATCACTTTTGTACCTGTTTTATCCTATTCGAACTCCACATATTGAAGCAGGATGATCACAATACGTGTTTTTTGGCTTGTATATATCAGATTGTGGTGCATCAGAAACTGTATTTTTACGCAAAACGAGTACAAACTAGAGCACATTCCACGAAATCTAGACGATTATGTTGAATTTGACACCATAAGAGTGGAGGTGTAAGAAAAAATCATAGTTGAGAGGGGTAAATGTAATTATTCAAACAAGAGTTTTTTTTTTTTAAATTGACCATACCTCAGAGGGTAGTTGTAATTTACCCTAATATCAATGATTATGTCTTTTATACTTTAGGTAACTAAAAATTCGAATCCTCCAAGTTCCAATTTTGGAAAAGAAAATTCATTCCGATTTTCGTTTTTCTTCAAACGGAAATGGAATTAGTTTTCACTTCCGAAAAAATCGAATTTTTTTTCTTCCAAAAGTGCTAATTCGAATCCGATTTCCACCCCTATCGGCAACTATTCCACTAATGCATCGCAATGTTTCTAATACAAGAAGCTAAAAGAAAAAAGAAACTACACTAATTAAAATGTGAAAAGGGGAACCAAAATTGAATAAACCATTTCAAACATATAGGTACATACAAATCTTGAAAGGAGATGAACAAGAACTATATATATAAATATTGATACAAAAAAAGAGGGGTGGGGTGGGGGCCAAAACTACCTATGCATAAAAAGAACTATGATACAACAACAAAATCGAAAAGTTCGTTCATCTGATTTCAATGTCAGTTTCAGGTTCGTTCTCTTGATCAGAAAGATGGTCGCTTGTTTTGCCCTTCAAAGATTTCTGGCTAAATATCCGATCGAACATACTTCTCGATCTCGGCAGATTACTTGCTCTAGATTTTCTGCTCCCACCATTCTTCTTTTCCAGCTCTTCGAGGATGTTCTTTACGCTACCGTCAAATCGACGTCTAAAAGTCGGGTATCTTGATATAGATTTAGTGATCCCTCGAAGCCTTGATTAAAGAAAATCAAATTAATAGTCGACTTGTAATAATTATAATAAAATATTGTCTATTTTTATATGTAATTTTTACCTTCGAGCCAATGCATCAAGTTCAGCTTGTCTGAGTTCAGTTTCGGGTGCTAACCCAATATTCGAATTCTTCAATCTCGACGGATCGCCACTCAATAAAACTAACTTTCCTAAGTATTCCTCCTCTGTTTCAGAAAGATTATCAGCCTTAATCTGGTCTTTAATAATTAATAGTGGATTAAGAAACCAATCGAAAAACGTGTCTTTCGGCCTATTCGAAGACGTTATTTCCGTAACATCATCACCTGCATAAAATAAAATTAAAATATTACTCATTCAACAATAATAAGAGCTAAAAAAACCCGAAAAAAAAAATCAAATAAACGAAGAAAAAAAAGGGAGAATTTTTTTTTCACTTACTTAGCAATATACCGGGAGAATTAGCATTTGCCGATCGAATAAGCGACTGAAGAATGCAATAAGCAGGCAAACCGATACTTATTACACCGCCACTATCTTTATTATGCTTAGCATCTTCGATATCTTTGAAAGTAATTATCCCTTCCGAGGCCATAACTTCCCCATGGCGTTGGCACTCATCGAGCAATGCATCAACTAACTTCAAAAAATTTAAATAAAAAATTATTCAACAAAAATAAATCGGGACCAGTTTAGTAATTAATAATAATAAATAATAAAATATTTAATCCAAAAATACCTCAAGTGGCTTCAAATCAAGCATGGGTGCATTCATAGAACTTGTTCGAGAAGGCGGCTTTTTGAAAGAGCCTGGCCTTGAAAACGAAGCCGGAGGAGACGTTGTTTGCGGCAGAGTCTTCTTTCTATAACACGGTCTAAATACACGAACAGCAATATTAATATTTCAAAAAATAACAATTAATCGAAGAAAAATTACACTACGATCAATAATTAACCTAGGAAAGCAGGACCCTTCGGGCATATCAAGAATATCATTGCTGTACTCGTCGTAAATCGACAATGAAGCGACAATGTAACAAAGTCCAAACCAAAAAGACCTTTCCTGCAATGCAAGAAAAACAAGATCTTTTATTAATTAATTAATTATTCATTTCTTTCATTTTTTTTTGTTTTGTTTTTTAAAGTGAATTAAATTCAACCTGATAAACAATTACTGCAGCATAAGCGCCCAAGAAAATACTCGATACCATCGAGCCCAAAACGGCTCCTACAACGGCCAACGGCCAGAGTAAAATTGCTAGGCCTGCAAATGGAACACATATAGTTTCCAAAAACGGGCCTTCTCTTCCTATGCAGTCGTGGAATAATCGATGCCAGCCTTTGAATAACATGTAGAAGCTTTTAAATAGTGCGATAATCGAGATTACTGGTAGATCAACCATTGCACCGAGTACTCCAGCTATTAAAGCCAGTGGCACGTAGAACAAGCTGCAATGTATAACGAACGAATTATTTTTCTTGAACTTAGAAAAATTTCCATAATGGAAAGAGTTTATCGAATTGCTAAAAAAAACCCTACCACGATGCGTATTTGTTAGCACACAAACCCCCTAAATGGTGGGTTTTTAGGGGGCAGTTTTTTGCTAATATTTATAAAACGGGTAATTTTTTTAGCAATTAGACTAAACATAAGGGTGTCGAATGCAATAACGGCAAGGAGAAAAATGGACCTAATCTCGTAATATTTACCCTCCGGGGGGCCTTGGCGCCGTAAATCATCCATAATGGAGAAGTACGAGAAGTAACAAACATCCAAGAAATCTCTAATGATAGTGAAGCTACCTTTAACAGAGCTCCAAATTCCATCCTGCGAGTACGAAGCACGATGATTTTATTTATTTCAAGTCCCTAGAAATAGTGGAAATACGATAATTTTATTAGGATTTCAAGATTGGCGTACACAAATACAGTGATAGAATTTGTCCGTTTTCCCTTCTTCAACAGCTTGAAAAGTGGCGAAAGATGGTGCAAGAAGACCATAGGCGGCACCACCTAAAACGCCGCAGGCTATTCCGATTGGCGGCCATGCTATTAATATGGCGAGAATGCATATGCAAAGTACGAGCTTCAAAGCTGGACCAAATTGTTTAGTGCTGCCATTATAAAAATAAAAAATAAAAAATTCAGTTCGATTATGATTGCGATGTAGTGAACTAAATACACAAGTTATAAAATAAAACTTAAAGAACAAACCTTAAAATGCAGTAATAAGTATAGAAGAAGTGAACGGGCCAAAGACCGAGTATTATAGCGCAGACTCCGGTTGTCATTATCAGAAATACGACGGGGAACATAATTATACCTGTAACAAGAAGAAATTGCAAATAATTTATTTAAAAATTCCAATCATTGCTGTAACTAACCATAGTTAAAACTTACCCTAAAAGGTCCATCTGTAAATCAAACTGTAAAACTGGGAAACTGTCTAAAATGGAACTAAATTTAACAATTATAGTTTCATAATTTTTGAAAAATCTGAGATAAAATTAAGTTAAAATAAATTTTACCCACTTCCAAACATAAACATCACTGCAGAAATCTGACTAAAAAAATTACTAATTGTAGCAACAAAGACAGGATATATACATCTCTATTACAGAACACACATGAAAAAAAAAACCTCAGAGAAAACAATTATTACAAAAAAAAAAAGAAAAAAAAAAAACAGACCTTTAATGAAGCCGAGAAGGAGAAGGCCGATGAAGAAAGGCAAGAACAAAATGAAGTTCCAGAGAGAAGCCCATATCCCACTTGGTGGTTCCATTTCTTCCTCTTTTCTATATTTTCTTTTTTCTCACTCAAATCACTAAAAACCCATCTCAAAAATCAATTAAAATATTTCTCGAACAAGATGCCACGCGATACAAAGACAGGAGTAGTGGGTTCTTTATCAAATGATTCTCTTCTATATTAATTTACAGAAAAAGAAAAAAGAAAAAAAAAATGGGGGTTTTGTGGATTTGAAATGGAAACTATATAATATTTTTATTAATTAAGAAAGAAAATAAGAGAGTGGATAATAAATGTGGGTTTCTTTGTAATTGTCGAACTTAACGGTTGATGAATTGCCGCTGGAAAGCACTTTTCAGATTGGTTTCTTTCTCTTTGAGGTTTACAACTTCGAAGCAAAGAATAGTATTACTCTTCAATTAAAAAAAGAAAGGCCTTTTCTTTTCTTCAGTATTTTATTTTTATTTGTAATAATAATCAAAAGCTTCAATTTAAGACAAAAAAAAAAAAAAAAAAAGATTCTTACTTCATCACTTCCACGCTGTAAATAGCACTAACCTTTTTTTTTTCTCAACAAAAAAAGAGGTGATATAATTAGTTTTAATTAATTACAAAAAATTAACTAACCCAAATCAAATTAAATGTTGTAGGGTAACAATTATTTTTTCACCTACATTTTCTCATTATTACTCCCTCGTGGCTAGAACATTTATGGGTAAATAGCATTGAACTCCCTGAAGTTCGAACTTTGTACAAATGACCTCCTTGTACTTTTAATATTAGAAAATGAATCTCCCGTAGTTTGAATTTTGCGCACATGACATGACCCACAATCTGCTACTGTCTGATAATTTATTTTAAAGTACAAAGGGGCTATGTGCTAATATTAAAATACAAGGGTAATTAATGATGCAGCACAATCTGATAATTACAAGCCAATAGACACATCTTATGATCATCTTATTTCCAAATGTGGAGCTCAAATAGACTCAGACGAGTACAAACTGAAAAATATTTCACATAATCTAGAAGATTCCACTAAATTTGACACCATAAGAGTGCACGTGAAAATAAATTCATAATTGAGGAGAGTGGTTGTAATTATCCAAACTAAAAAGGATTTTTTTTTAATTTAACTTTAATTCAGGGTGACCGTAATTTAGTCATATTTTAAATTATTGCGCGTGTATTGAATCTTAATCAAAATGCATGGTTTATAGCACACAGCATTAAAAGGATATCCAAAATATTACCATCATTAATTATTTCTCAAGTAATTGTTGTTCAGAGTTTAAAATTTCAATAGTAACTAGTAAGCTAACTAAATTGCACAAAATAAATAAATAAATAAATATAGGTATCGACTCACGTGATAATCACGTGTGTGAGGTCGGCTTTTTCTTGGGCCTTGTACATACATTTATCGACACGTTCATTTGGGCCTGAAAAAAATCGAGTTATCTTACGTGGGCTTGCTTATACTTATACTGAGTTTATGGATTGTTAATTAATTGCACAAAGCTACGCTTCTTAACTCTTAATTCAACAATTTGTCGTTTACAAATGTTAATTGCCTTTTCTTAAGCTTACATTAACTCAGTAGAACATCCATAAATTAATAATAATAATTTCTTCCAGTTCTCACTTTATATAATCATACTAAATTATTAATTCGATAATTTATTCTTTTGTTCCATTAATAGAATTATGTTAATACTAACTGCATTAATTTATAGAGGCTTACTGTTAAAGTGTAAAAACTTTTGAAAAAAAATTCATCATTGGACAATGAGCTTGACTGCACATATTTTGAAATATGGCTTATCGACTATATGATAAGTGTAATCATATAATTTACAATTAATATTATAAATTCGAGGTGTGTGACAAAAAAATATTTTAACAGTAAAATTTATTTTAAAAAAAAAATTAAAAAAATAGTTACATGGGATCTAGCATAAAAAAAGGTTGATAGAGAATTGCATGCGAAGAAATGCAAAATCTTATGAATGGCGTGAAAGTATCTATCTCGTGCTTGGTCCTCCTCTCCTTATTATAAGCACGCATGCATGCGCATTCAAATCAAATGAATCCTACGTTTTTTTTACTATTGATCTACCCATACCAACGTGGGTGTGTGTGTTTATGTGTATATATATATATGAATAATAAATATCTACTCAGTATATTTCACCCGATGTAGCATATATATAATAGACCAATTAATAATATCAGTAAGTACCATTTTTGTTTAATAATTCAAGTCATACCCCAATGTTTTTGTTTTATTAGTCAATTAATTTTTTTGGTAAAAACTATAAATTTGCACCCTTAAAATATGGGATTTGTAACAGTTACCCTTACCTAAAGAACATCGATAGTAACAATTCGAGCTTTCCAAATCACCATAATTAAGGTGATCAAGTTTTAGTTATCGTGTAAGTGACTGAATTCATTTCGGTATATTTCGAGCTTCTGTGTAGTCATTCACCAATTTTAATTTACGGTCAACTCGATCTCCAGCTCAAAGGACTCGTAAGCTACCTAACTCGAGTAATCCCGCGTCGAGTATCATGAGATTGTATAATTCTATCTTGATTAATTATGTATTAAAAACTAAACGAGGCCTAAAATAAAGTTCTAATAGATTCCCCATGACATAAGGGAAGATTCTTGTACAGTTGAACTTGGCCTTATTATTTGAACCTTCAAATAAATATACTAACACATATTATTTTTCATATTAGGATCACATTAGCCATGCTGCAGCTAATTTAGGGGTGGCTAATTACCAACAATCTTGGTTAGTCATTTTAATAGAATAAATACATTATTATATTTAGACTATATATAAATCATGCATGTGCACATGTGAATGTATTCGGATTGCATAAATTATGGTTATTGATTTATTTCCTACTATTAAATTTGAAGATGATTTTGCTAATTAATGCCCAAATGATTGATGTAAAATTCTGATCCAAGTCACCCAAATTTATCAAATTTCGATTTTTATTTTTTTCATTATATTATATGAGTATCAAAATAAAATGAAGAATATAATAATGATGATATATAATGATAGTAACACAATTATTACTGTAAATATATTCACGTTTCTTATAACACAAGAAAATGTCGAGTATATTTTGAGGTGAAAATGCAGTTAGAATCATAGAAAAACATATTTTTTTTTGTGAAAAAATAAATCAAATCCGATGAAATGTACGAATGGTAAAGATCTACAACGTCTACACATCTACATATTAAACAAAATAAGTCGTATCAGATCGCGCAATGAATGGTCTAGCAGTTGGAACAAGAGAGTTCGTTTCAAATTACCTAAGTTCGAATCATTTTGTCAACGGTCGTTATGTCGACCTTGTCACACATGCATGGTCAGTCTAGTTTGGTTTACGTCTCTCGTATATATATAAAAAAAAAATAGCCGTATTAGTATTGCAAGCCTAATTAAACTCAAAGCTTGAAATATATGAGATGAATTTGAATTTTTTCGATCGTGAAACTTAATTGTATATGAGTTTGAACTAAAACTCGATTAACATGGCCCGATAGTCATCCCTACTCACGTATGAAAAAAGAAAAAAAAAATTTATCTATCATTAAACCATAAATATTAATTAATTAATTAAGTAAATAAATAATAACAAGTGGCCAACATCCTTTGTTGTTGTAAGTGCAAATATGTTTGTGCAAGCCGACATAACAAAATCCTTTTCCGGGACCAATAAGTATGGCTTCTTTTGGACTTTCTCATAAATTATTATTATTATTATTTCTTGTTTTGATAATTAATTATTAGTCCTCTTTTATTTTTTATTTTATTTTTGATAAATAATTATTAGTCCCCTTCACCAATATACATGTGGGGTTGTCACTTGTGAGACAAAAAATATCATCAGAATCTTCTCTTATTTTCTTGTGTTTCTTCTCCATTTGGTTTCTTGCATTATTTTGTGTGTTTTTCCATGATTAGCTTTGCTATCATGTTTTTAGGTTTTGGTCTGAAATTATTTTAATTCACAGATGATTTGAATCATTTTCTCAATTTATTTTAATTTAATGCATTAAGTTTTATATATATAAGCTCATAATGGAACTCACTTAGCTTCCATCCTCAAGTCTATAACTATGTTCTAGAATTTACTATCTCAAATATTAAAATAACTCTTCATAGTTCATGTAATGGCTAAACTTACAAGCTGTTAAAAAGAGCTTATTAAGGGCTTATGAGTTCTTTCAAAGTGATTGGTACATTTTTTCAGAAAGAAATTATTAAAAATTCAAAAAAATTAGTTGTTGGAGAACAAATAAGATCGTTTTTAAAAAGTACATCCATCCCACAATTTTATTAGGATCTTATAACGAGTAAAAATAGTTTATAAGATCATTATTCAAATACTTTAAAATTAAATTCTAAAAATAATGCATAGCAGCTTATCAGCTCTTAAAACAGCTTATTAGATGTAAGAGCTTATTAGTTGTTTACAACAAATTTAGCCAAATGGACCCTAAAATTGCTAAGTAATAAAATAAATTAATTTCAGAGCTACTCCATCTGTTCCATAATATCTGTCTCTTTTGAGAATTTATTTTGTTCCATATTATCTGTCACTTTACAATTCCAATGCTGCATTAATTGCTTATTTTTCAATTTTACCCTTATTAACTCTGCAGCACTCTTCCTGCATTAATTAATAAACAAGGGTGTTTTGGTCCATCAATATATATTTTTCTAAAATCAAGACATATTTATTGAGATTCTTAAGATTTGTGCCAAAGTGAAAAACGACACCTATTTAGGAACGAATGGAGTACTAGTTTCCAAGAAAAAAATAAAATAATAAGCCGCTTGAACTAGTTTCTTAGTTATTGTGGAGAACTTGAAAAAAAAAATATAGATTTCAAATTCTTTCACCTAATCCTTGTCAAATACAAATTAAAGAAATTAATCTTGTTTTATTTGTGTTTTATTAGAAAAAAAAAAATTGATGGTTGAGGAGGATAAGAGGCTGCAAGTAGCTGTAAATCACTAATTGTAGCTTTAAAGCATAATCAATATTATCCATTTGTTGTTGCTTGAATGCCTGATTAAAATGGCCCCTTTTTGACCCCCTTGAAAAATAAAAATGGCCCCCCTCCTAATTCCCCCAATTTTAATCAAGTATGAATAAAGAAATTTTTAATTTCTTGTTGCACATGGTTTGATACCCTAACGGTAGCCAACCCCCAACAATACAAAAAAAAAAAAATTTAAATAATCACCCAACTTTATTAATTAACAAGTAAACTACTTTTTGAACACACTTATGTAACTTATTAACAAAATTAATTTTAATTTGGGAAATAAATTAGTTGCAGAAAGAATTTAATTGTGATAGAAGTATTCGTTTTATCAACCGACTATGATGTGATAGTCTTAGGGCCCGTTGATTAAGCAAAGCGTGTAACAAACCCACCCCCATGTGCCTTATGTGGGGTGTACATTATAAATTAAATTTTAAAAAAAAATCGATTTTTATTCGATATTTTATTTTTAATTTTGAAACAATATTATTTTTTTCTGGATTTGAAAATTTCCAAAATTTTCTATTTTCAATATTCATTCACTTTTTATTGTAATATAACAGATTCTGATTTTCGAGCAGATTCTAACTTAAAAAAATAATTTTAAAAATCATATAATAACACTTATAATATCGATATTATTATGTATATTGTATATCATAGGTGAATAAAGAAAAAATCTAGCCACCACCGATCTTATTTCTGATTTTGGATCAAGTTTTGTCATTCCATTTTTTAAAATTCTGATTCTCAAATATTTTTGTATATATTTTTCAAAGAATTGGAATTAGATTTTCACTTCAGGAAAAAAAAAAAAAAAAGCTAGCTAATTGATTTTCCGAAAGTACTAAATTAAATATGATCCGTTCGATTTCTACAGAGTACCCCTAGCTAAATCAACACAACAAATTCATGCCACGTGTCACAAGGGGTTCTTCAAATTATTAATCTTAATACAAGTTTAATAAGAGATTACTTAAAGGTAAGGCTGCTTACATCTTAATTAATATTTCACATTCTTTTATTTATCCAAATATAATATCCCACCTGCTATATAATAGCCCTCTCCTACCACTCTTCTTTCCCCCCATACTACCAAGACTAAATATTTAATTTAAGAGAGAGAAAATCAGTGAGAGAAAAATGATCAAGTTAAGGTCAAAGATGTTCTACAGATGCAGCTCCAAGCTAGGAAGTGGCGGCGGCGGGGGTGGTGGTGCCGCCACACACGTCGGCGGCGGCGAGATCAAATGGGAATTAAGGCCCGGCGGCATGCTTGTCCAGAAACGAGAGAGTAACGAAAACTCCGGCGAAGTCATGATCACAATTCGAGTCTCGACCGTCTCAAAATGGCATGATATTTCAGTTCAACCAACTTCAACATTTGGTAAACAATTAATTAAACCTCGAATTCTTTTATTTCATTATCATATTAACCTCTGACAGCGAGCTGGTTCACGAGCTTTTTATAAATTATATTTATCGGAAATCGAATTGATTTTTTTTTTTTTTTCTTGATTTTCTTTTATTTAGGAGAATTAAAGATTTTATTGTCAATATTGACAAATTTGGAGCCACAAGAGCAAAGAATTTTATTCAAAGGGAAAGAAAGAGAGGATAATGAACACTTGCATATGATTGGTGTAAGAGACAAGGACAAAGTTCTAATGTTGGAAGACCCGGCAATCAAAGAGAGGAAGCTTCTCGGGTTGACCCGAACCGGAGGAATCGGGTCACCTTATTGCACTATTAGTGTCTAAGTAATCACACACTAATTAAACCATAATCAAGTTTAGGAGGGTGCATGCCTGTTTTTCTATCTTCAACTAACAACAACCAAAAAAAAAAGTTAATATTGTTTGTTTTTAAGTGTTAATGATGATTATGTTTGGTAATTAACTTGGCTTAAGTGGGGGGACTTAGTTTTTTTTATTGTAAGATACCCTTGTCGGCTTGGATATAATTAAATGTAAGCTGATGATTGTCCAAGTCATTCTGAATTAGTTTTGTATTAGGGTGTGTTTATGTATGAAATTATGTTGTTTTCTCTCTCTCTCTCTCTCTTACTTTTATTTATTAATTTTACTAGTACTTTTTTTTTTTGTTAATTTTTATGTACGATGAAGGGTTGAGGCGTGCATATAAAAAAATGCAGATCGTGCAATTTAAAGGTGGATGAAAAAGTTCAAAAAGTTGTAAGATAGGTTAAAAAGTTCATCAAGTACATAAAATACAACTAAAGTAATTTGTTTAGAGTTTAGACTAATTAATTAATGGGCTTAAGTATCATTATTAAGTTAATGGGCCCATGGCCTTAGTAACAATAACTAAGAAGTATTGGATAATTGGAGATCACCTAATATTGGGCCGACACCCTATGGAAAGCGTGTCAACTGGGATCAAATCAGTGCAAATCTCGGACGAATAAAGAGACTTTAAATTAGGAGAAGGGGTGCTAAATTCTACACTAAAAGTTACTAAATCACGCACATAAATAAAAAATATGTATTTTCTACTAAAGATATTCTCTCTCTACAAAATATTTTCTCTGACTTCTCTCTAACTTTTTTCTAGGGTTTTCCACACAAAAAATTACTAAATCCCGCACATAAAAAAGAATTCTCTCTATACAAAAAAATATTTTCTCTCTACGCTCTATTTTTTCGATTTCTCTCCAACTTTTTTCTAGGTTTTCAAAATACTTAAAAGTCGTCAAAGGTCGTTTTTTGTTACGTAAGAATCATCGACTAATGAGTTCAATACCTTATAACGACAATCCACTTCAACCGAATGTAAGATTTTAATTTTTTTTGCCAACAAGTCGTCATACGCAGAGGGCAGACAACCTGGAAGACGAAACAAATAGCGCACACATGTTGGGCTCGTAGTACACTGTATTCGCGTCCAAGGTGGGCGATGTCTTTGATGCGTCCGCTTCTACTTTAGATGCGATCCGGTGTTTTTTTTTTTTTTTAATATATATATATATATATATATATATTTTTTTATTATTTTTTTTTTGTTTATTTTTTTTCAGGATAATGGGGAAGTTGATTATTCTGAATACTTTTGACGAGTACAATTGTTTAATTGTAGAGCCGATTTAATACAGTGTGCGAGAGACACAACTGAAAGCCATGGCATTAAGCTAATTATTGGTCATACTTTTTGTGATAGAGTATACGTCACCTGTGATCGGTTTGGAAAAAAAACAGGTGAAACGAAAGAATAGAGGTGTAGAAAGTACAAAATGTACTGGCACGAAAAAATGTTATTGTGGTTTCCAGTTGAAGGGGGCTCTACAAGCAGGGGATAAATGGGAACTCTCTATAGTTTACGGGAAGCATAATCATCCTCCGGCTTCGAAGCATGGTCTTTATAAACAACTCTCGAAGAAGCAATATGAAGTTACCGAGATGTTGACGAGAAGTCACGTGAAACCTAAGAAGATTTTAAACCATCTTCGACGTGAAGATCCAAATATTATCACTTCGCTGAAATATATTTATAATGCAAGACTCATAATCAAAATTAAATTAATGGGCGGAAAGACAGTTATTCAACATTTGATGCAGTGTATTAATGAGAGCAAGTATATACAGCGACACCGCGCCGATTCAATGACGAATGAGGTTATTGACTTGGTGTTTGTTGATCCTCGAATTCCTGATATGTTGAAGTTGTTCCCGTATGTCCTACTCATGGACTCTACATATAAGACCAATAGGTAATTATTCGTTTATAGTTGATGCAATTTAATTTAGAGTTTAAAATTTTGTTGAATATTAATATTAAATAATTATTTTGTAATAGGTACAAGATGCCATTACTGGAGATTGTAGGTGTGACCCGAGTTGGAAAAAAAAAATTACTGTTGCAATTGCATTTATGCAGCATGAAAACGAAGAACATTATAATTGGGTATTGAGTCAAGTAAAATCAATATTTTATGGTTGCTCAGAACCAGGAGTAATTGTGACAGATAGGGAGTTAGGCCTTATTAAGGCGATAGAGCATGTCCCTAACCGAGTTTTCCATTTATTAACATTACTCAATTTAAAAATTAAAACTTACCTCACTAGCCTCTTAACTGTCGATATATCGTCGATAATATCCCATATCCCTAGAGTTTTCCTGCGATTTCTTCGGAATCTTTCATTTCATACATCGTGGCCGACTTTCATCATATGTACCTAGTACAGGGAGTCGGAAACATGAAAAATGCTCGTATATCCAAGACTGTTTCATGGTACATTCATTAGCCACATAATAAAATATTTATATAAATAAAAGAATTATGAGTTAAAATCAGTACCTCCAACAATACCAACAGACCCCCTATCTGCTTTACTTCGGCGCGCGAAACGGCACCTAACTGACGGTACAAATATGCCAATGCACCCGAACCCCATGAATAATGATTGACTTTCGAAATATCTTCAATCAATGGGATGTATGTCAACTTAAACATGCCCCCGCTCTTCTCAACGATCAATGTGGAGCCGGTAAGATATAAGATATATCTTCGAGCACGAGTCTCAGCGGAGTCATTATCCCTGCAAAGTGCAACAACTTCCCCATATGTTGGACCTTTATTGCCAAACCATTTGCGCACATTTGAAAACGGAGCACACAAACAACGAGAAGCAGCTCTAATCTCATTTTCTCGGTCTCCAATGGCGAGTGGTAGCTTTCCAACAATGTCTAATCCCATGATATAACTAACATCATGGAGGGTGATGGACATCTCTCCAAACGGCATTTGGAATGTGTTCGTGTCCGGCTGCCATCTTTCAACAAATGCAGAAATCAATGTTGAATTATGATGAGCAAATGTACAATCTTTCAGTTGGTACAACCCCGATTTGTAACACCCCACATTTTCATTAGCATTTATATATTATTATATTGAATATATAGTAAATACGAATATAAGTGCATTTCATGAATCGAGTAGCAATTTATACGTTCTCTATGTGTTTATGTGATTTAGATACATTATAGTATTTTTTAAAGTAGACAATATTATTAACTAAGTAGGTGATTCTAATTATGTGATTTAATGAATAAAGTGACCATCTATGTAAGTCATGCTAATTGGGATTGTATATGTGCATATATATTTTATGTTAATATATAATATATGATGTGAACTTAATTATGTATGTTATACTATGTGAATGTGAATGTGTATGTTTATGATATATGTGCTAGGATTTATTTATGTGTGTGTATGTATGTATGTTATATGTGCATACTTATTTGATATATATGTATGTGACATACATGACATAGGACCTCTCTCTCTCTCTCTCTCTCCCTCTCTCTCTCTCGGTAAGAGCATAGAAAAAGCCCACACCATTTCTCTTTTATTATTTTAATATTATTTATGTATAGATGTGTATATGTATAGGTGTTGTGTGTGCATGTGCTTTGTGTTTTGTGGAAATGCCGTGTGTATAAGTTGAGTGTGTTGGGTTTGTGGTGAGTTTCCAAGTGTCCAAATATTTATAATTGCTATCTACACCCCCTTGTTTCCTATATTGCAAGTAAGTCCCTCTACTCTCCTATAAATAGCATCTTCCTCTCCTCCATTTTCAGCACAAAAACACAAGCCAAAATCCCTCATTCTCTCCCCTCTATTTCGTCCAAACACTCCCCAAATGGAAGAGTTCATCTTCCACTTCAAAGCCTTCAAGATTCTTTATAAAAGTCCCTATTTTCTCTTCTAAAATCCCCTCAAAATGCCTCTCTCTCCCTAAATTCGAGATTGCTAAATACACTCAAAGAAACAACCATATAATCTCTCAAAACTCATCTCCAAAGCAATCCAATACCACCCATGTCAAGCCCAAAGACTTCCAAGCTAAAACTCCATGGATCCTTGGTTTCTTCTCCTTCTTAGCCTTTGATTTTCATGGGTAAGGACCTCTTGGTCTTTACTGAAATAATAACCTAATTAATATGAGTTATATGTGTCTTAAATGAATTATATGTTTGTGGTTTTAATTTTGGGCTTTAGAAGATAAAGTTCTTGATGAACACTAATTGAATTTCAGTTTCGCAGCCTCTGTTTGTATTGCATGTCTCATCGGGTAATCCCTAAGATAAAATTATGAAATTTCATAGTAGACTAGATCTTTCGGTTAGCTTCATGTTGATATAAATTATGCATAAATCGGACTTATATTGAGTAAGTTATGACCCTTTTTCTAAAACTGCACAGTTTCTGAGTCATTTATGAACTATGTATTTAATACGACTTTATACTAATTTTATTTATGTGATTTACTTGGATATGATTAAAGACTTATTAAAATTCGTATTTGCAAAATTTCACAGTGTTTGGGTCAAGGTATGAATTATTTGGTAATTTTAAAGTTGATTGCTCTGTTCTGGAAATTTAACTGTGTGACTTCACTAAATTAATTATTTCTCTTAAACGGTTTAGTCTCTTGATAAACTGTTTTAACAGGGTATAATATACTTATAGATGAACATCTTGTGAAATTTTCAGGTGTTTTGGATATAGGTTCTAAGAGATATGAATTTTCAAAGTTGAAATACCAAAACTGTCCGATTTTCTAAAATAAACTATTTTGAACTAGAAAGTATGTTTAGAAGTATGGTTTTAGATTCTTGATCCTTAGTTAATAGAAGAATTAAAATTATATTAAGATAATAGAACATGATAAGTTGAATTTAATTATAGTTATGGTCATGAATTATTCATTTAAGTCATTATGTGTGTTTCGATTGATTCGGTATGTTGGTTTGAGATTCATTATGTGTGTGCCGTATGTGTGTAAGTATTGAAGATTGTTGAGATTACTTGTGGGATTATTGGTCAATTAAACTTGTTAATGTTATATAGTATATCCTATATTTCATACTTTATATATATATGTTAAATAAACGACTATATATCTATATATCCTAGCCTGCGTGGTCGTAGGAATAATTCCCGATCCATGGCTTATATATGTATACTATCTCTATAGCAACCTACGTGGTCGTCGAGTGAAACTCCGATCCATGGTTTATGTAAATATCAAATATACTATTATAAATATATGTGGGGGTTGTGTACAACTATATGTGTGTGTGTGGATGAACAATAATCTTTACGTGATTTGTGTTTATTGTGCTACACTTGATTGGATATCATTGCCGTGTGTGTGTGTACGGCCGTGTATGTATCTGTGTCATATGTGTGATTTTATTAGTCTATGTGATAATATGCGGTTAGTAAATCTTTGTGTTATTTTATTCTGACATATTTGTGGTGTTTGAACTGTAATAGGATTATGGTCTAAGTGTTCATGTCCATGCATAACACGTGTTTTGAAAATTGGAAGATTAATGGAATGTTTGGGTAATAAACAAATCGGATACGGTGGGCCGGTATCCAACTAGGGTTGAGAGGAGTGATACGAGTGATATGAGTGATATTGGATCCATAGACGGGCTCGAAACGGTTTATTATCCGAATATAGAAATTAATCTTTCACGGATCCGACAAAATGAAAAATGAATTTTTAACACGCATTGCATTCACATGCATTTTAGTTATCGTGCATAATAAAGTGAATTATGTGGGTGTAGTGTGCTTTTATGACTTATGTGTAATAATGTGCTTTTGTGACTCGTGTGTTGTCGTATATTATCTCGTGTTTAGATTGTCACGTTGGGATTCCGATAAGGATCCTGTTGCATTGCATTTATATGCGTGAAGTGTTAAATTGATACTACAGAGACTTTATGTCCGCGAGTAACATGAGGATTTTATATCCGTATAATATGAAAAGAGGACTGTGTGTCCAATATACCAAGATTGAGGTAAACAGTATTATATGTTATATGTAGAGATATATGTTCGACTATGTTTATGATAATATTCATGATTCGTGGTTCTTAATTTCGAAGAATTGAAGTAGTGTATTCGTATGTGATGTTATGTGCTTTCACGTTTGTGATTGACTGTCTTGGTCCAAACGAATAAATTGAATATAGAGGACATAGTTGAAGCTTTAGGATTATCCCTACACGAAAGAACATAGAGACGAGGACTTTAGGGCTCCTATAGGACGTGAGTGACACGTTGAGAGAGGCGTGAGTATCGTCAGGCCAATGTTCTTACTGAGCCAGTGGTTGGGCTCACGCTTTATGCGAATTTCCCCTTTTCAGGTTCTCGAAGTAATCAGAGCAGCGCAGCGGAGCGGAGTTCGAGGAATCACGAACCTTGATGCCTTGCACGTCTTACCCGGATTTCGTAAAATATCATGTTTCCACTTTCGTCTATAAAAAGGTCTTATGTACAAAAATGGAGATTTTCATGATTATATTTTACTCTGATTTAGGAATCCAGTCTATTAAACGGGGGTATTTAAATCAAGTTTATTTTCCTTCCGCTGTCTTACAAGTTTTCTTTTCAAACCCCGATGACGTTTAGGTAGCACTCTTTATGAAAATTGTAACTTTGATTTGTGGGTTGTATTTTAAGAAAAGGGAAATACTTTAAAATTTTAAATTGGGTTTCTCAAGGGTCAAATTGATTCGAAATTTTTTAAGTCCACTAAAATATTTCTTCTTTAACTAATATTCATGGAGGGTGTTACAAGGTGGTATCAGAGCACTGTTTAATACACTGGATTCCTATTTATGGTTCAAGGCACTCGTGATTTCTCCTCCAGTTCCCTGCCTAAGTCATGAGGTATGATTTATATTTAATTTAGACTAGTTCGAATTAGAGAACTTAGAATTTTATGTAGGCTTATCACTATACTCATTGCTAGTATCTTGAGTTGATCTTATTAAGATTTATAATTGCGCATATGCGACGATAAAAGGAAGATAGTTTATGTGGTTTTAATACGTGATGTTGTGTATGCTTATTTTGATACACCTACCTCGATATTTTTGATATTTTATGTCATTAATCTATAATTGAATTTGTGATTATGAGTGGATAAGTGTTTTAATCTTCTTGGAATATTTTGTGCTATGCTATTGTTGTTTGAGATTGGTGTGTTAAAAAAAAAAAAAAAAAAGCTTTAGTGTGATTGAAAATATTTGTTTACATATAAGAATTTTGAATTTCGCTACTATATGACATTAATTAAAGAATATAATTTGCCAAGTATTTGACAATTTGGTTGCATTAGTGAATTTTAATTTATGTTATTCCTTTGTGTTTCCCGATTATGCATTCTTGTTTACATTAAAGATTTAAACCATGATGATTGTGTGATGAGAAAATTTCAAATTGGTAATAATTTTTGGAAGAAAAGTTTTCAGTTCTAAGTTTGAAAATTTAATTCTTACTATTTGGATCATGTTTGTGCATTTTAGGTAAAAGCTTGCACCTAAATTTTTGTTTTATGGAATATCTAAGTGATTACATGTGATACTGTGATAGGTATCTTGTGTGAAACTTTTGTGCATTATTGGTGGTGTACTCATGAAATTCATACGAGGCGTACTCATTTTGTTTGCATATTTTAGAAAATGCATGCAAAACCTTCGTTTCCTCAAAAGGGAAAAGATTATCTCAAAATCAAATTTCGCTTTTCAGAAATTGGAGGTCTCGATGACACCCATTTAGATTTTTTCAAGAGAAAATTTTGTTTTCATAAAAGTGTTGGGGAAGAAAAATGTTTAAAGGATTTCCAAGAAATATTTTGTGTTCGCCAAAAATGAGTTTTCTGGTAACGAAAGTTTAAGAAAATATTTTTCCATGTTACTTGTCAACCCTCGATCTAATTGTTATTTATTCAATTATGGAGAATAATGAAATTCGATTTCATGATAAAGGATTTTCCAAATTTTGAGGACAAAATTTTTTTAAGGGGGGAAGATTGTAACACCCCACATTTTCATTAGCATTTATATATTATTATATTGAATATATAGTAAATACGAATATAAGTGCATTTCATGAATCGAGTAGCAATTTATACGTTCTCTATGTGTTTATGTGATTTAGATACATTATAGTATTTTTTAAAGTAGACAATATTATTAACTAAGTAGGTGATTCTAATTATGTGATTTAATGAATAAAGTGACCATCTATGTAAGTCATGCTAATTGGGATTGTATATGTGCATATATATTTTATGTTAATATATAATATATGATGTGAACTTAATTATGTATGTTATACTATGTGAATGTGAATGTGTATGTTTATGATATATGTGCTAGGATTTATTTATGTGTGTGTATGTATGTATGTTATATGTGCATACTTATTTGATATATATGTATGTGACATACATGACATAGGACCTCTCTCTCTCTCTCTCTCTCCCTCTCTCTCTCTCGGTAAGAGCATAGAAAAAGCCCACACCATTTCTCTTTTATTATTTTAATATTATTTATGTATAGATGTGTATATGTATAGGTGTTGTGTGTGCATGTGCTTTGTGTTTTGTGGAAATGCCGTGTGTATAAGTTGAGTGTGTTGGGTTTGTGGTGAGTTTCCAAGTGTCCAAATATTTATAATTGCTATCTACACCCCCTTGTTTCCTATATTGCAAGTAAGTCCCTCTACTCTCCTATAAATAGCATCTTCCTCTCCTCCATTTTCAGCACAAAAACACAAGCCAAAATCCCTCATTCTCTCCCCTCTATTTCGTCCAAACACTCCCCAAATGGAAGAGTTCATCTTCCACTTCAAAGCCTTCAAGATTCTTTATAAAAGTCCCTATTTTCTCTTCTAAAATCCCCTCAAAATGCCTCTCTCTCCCTAAATTCGAGATTGCTAAATACACTCAAAGAAACAACCATATAATCTCTCAAAACTCATCTCCAAAGCAATCCAATACCACCCATGTCAAGCCCAAAGACTTCCAAGCTAAAACTCCATGGATCCTTGGTTTCTTCTCCTTCTTAGCCTTTGATTTTCATGGGTAAGGACCTCTTGGTCTTTACTGAAATAATAACCTAATTAATATGAGTTATATGTGTCTTAAATGAATTATATGTTTGTGGTTTTAATTTTGGGCTTTAGAAGATAAAGTTCTTGATGAACACTAATTGAATTTCAGTTTCGCAGCCTCTGTTTGTATTGCATGTCTCATCGGGTAATCCCTAAGATAAAATTATGAAATTTCATAGTAGACTAGATCTTTCGGTTAGCTTCATGTTGATATAAATTATGCATAAATCGGACTTATATTGAGTAAGTTATGACCCTTTTTCTAAAACTGCACAGTTTCTGAGTCATTTATGAACTATGTATTTAATACGACTTTATACTAATTTTATTTATGTGATTTACTTGGATATGATTAAAGACTTATTAAAATTCGTATTTGCAAAATTTCACAGTGTTTGGGTCAAGGTATGAATTATTTGGTAATTTTAAAGTTGATTGCTCTGTTCTGGAAATTTAACTGTGTGACTTCACTAAATTAATTATTTCTCTTAAACGGTTTAGTCTCTTGATAAACTGTTTTAACAGGGTATAATATACTTATAGATGAACATCTTGTGAAATTTTCAGGTGTTTTGGATATAGGTTCTAAGAGATATGAATTTTCAAAGTTGAAATACCAAAACTGTCCGATTTTCTAAAATAAACTATTTTGAACTAGAAAGTATGTTTAGAAGTATGGTTTTAGATTCTTGATCCTTAGTTAATAGAAGAATTAAAATTATATTAAGATAATAGAACATGATAAGTTGAATTTAATTATAGTTATGGTCATGAATTATTCATTTAAGTCATTATGTGTGTTTCGATTGATTCGGTATGTTGGTTTGAGATTCATTATGTGTGTGCCGTATGTGTGTAAGTATTGAAGATTGTTGAGATTACTTGTGGGATTATTGTCAAGGAGGGGGGTTGAGTTTTCAATCCCCCTA